ATGCAGATGGTACTAATAATGGCTATGCCCCTTGACGTATTTTAAAACTGTTAAGAAAATAGTAAGGAATGCCCTTTTGCAGAATATTTCTAAAATAAAATGTATTTATGTAAAATAAACTTCAAAGTGAAGATAGTCACTGGAACTTGTTTTAGGATGAGTTTTGGATTTAATGGCCACTGAGATACATTTTTATATTTGTTACACCAGTTAGTATGCATGAGTTAATGTGCCTGTCTGTCTTCACATTCACAAAAAAAACAACATCATCCCAGGACTATACAAGATACAAGTTGACTATTAATAAGGGGCCGATTTAAAAAAATGTGAAACTTTGTAATTTTGGCACAAATACAGGCAATCTCTTTCAGGATTGATTGCTTCACTAGACGCAGGTATTTGGAGGCAATGTAAACTTGCTTATTGCTTCCACAAACTTTAACATACGTTCCCTAAATGCGCCTAATTGTGCCAGCTGGGAGACAACCATCTGGTCAGTACTGAGTCATTTCATAATTTAAAAAAGTAACCACCCAAGAGAAAAACATTTAAATAATTTCAGACACAAAAAGTATTTCAGAATTTGTTGTATTTTTATTAAGATTTTATTTTAATCAAGTTCCCAAAATGTTATTAGGTAGTCTTTCATCATTAATTCAAACACAAACTGCCAGATGTAGGCAGAGTAATCCAGTCAAAATAAATTAAATAAAATTCAGGAACAAATAGCAGTATCATTCATTTTATGACTTTCTCTAAAAATTTAAATTTTATTTTACATTTTAAGACAATTTCAATTTTCCCCCAAAAAGGAAAACATTTAGGTAAGGATTATTTCAGTTGTTATACAAACAATCAACTTTACTGAAACTACACTAAATTTAACCTTCTTGTACCATGGCTAAAATGTTAGACTGATGGAAGGATTCATAATCAATTTTACACTTAAGCTTCGATGGTTATGTTGTTAACCAAATTAAATTTGTGTGAATGAACGTATGTATCAAACCCGAGAATCAGTATGGGGGACATGAGGAATGGGGGCAGAGTGAGAAAACACAGGGAACACTTGTGCTTTAGAGCATCATTGTGGTAACTGAAGTCATTCATTTATTAGTCCACATAAAAAGATGCATCCAACACCAAGTAACACAGAACCATGAGTTCTGGTATCGAGCAATAATTATATGCATTATATAGCTCTTAGTCGAATTTTTTGCTAAAACCTCATCAGTTGACGTTCTTTAAAAACAATGAATAATGGAAGACTATATAATAATATTCAGTAATATGACTCATTTTTAAAACAGTCAAACTGTTTTTGCCGTTTTATAGATTGATGAATTCATGCAGATTGCTGATAATTAAGTCCAGAATAAATTAATTGCAATCAGTAGTAATACTGTATTATACCACTGACATTAGCAGTAGTCATACTTGCATACAAAACAAATAATTGTGTTTAACTGTGGACCATCAAATTTGAGGGATTTTGGGGTGTACCTCTGGTAGAAGCTTTACTGTTCTGCTTGAATATATCTCTAGTATACAGTAAAAGTAACCATTATCTTACATTATTTATTATTCAGATGGATAATTTATCTTCCCTGCATGCCTTCTCTCTTATCAAGAAAAGCTGAGAGGAAAAAGACACTTTTTTTTCCCCCCAACACATTCTGTAGCTCCATTCCCATCAAACATTCAGCTTACTAAAAATAAATGGCATGTCATCACAGAAGTGAGAAACTCATTTGGTTTAGAGTCTGTGTTTATGGGACTGTTTTCACAAAGAATTGTGATCTTATAATGGGAAAATCACTAAAATCATCTTGCTATGACTTTTTTATTTCATAAAGCTGCTGTTCATACATGAGTAAGAAGTTCAGAAATCAAAGGAAGCAAAAAGACGGCCGGCACGAGTCTCTGAGGAATTTAGTCAGCCAAGAAAGGATCCAAAACTCTTTTAAAATGAGAAACAAATTTGGTAAAATGTTATTACATTAATTTTTAATTATAACTTCAGTTATGATTGAGACTGACAGGGCACTGAGTGCATCAATACCAAATTCTTTCCCAGAACCACTGGACAAATGAATCCAATAACGTTATAGAGGTTAAATGTTTACCGGTGTATTTGCAACCTGCACTTTGTGTTATATTAAGAAAACTAAACACAATCATCATACACACACCCCACCTCGCAGTATATATTAATGCTGACAGGACATATAAAACCTCTAAATGGAACGTTTTAAATTTGGGCAACTTTATGACAATTGGGCAGATTTAAAGCCTTGATTTGCTACTTTGCGACAGATATGTTGCAAGCTCAGCCAGATTTACATGGTACGGTTGTGCAGTACAGTATTTAGAATAATTTAGTGGTATAGTTTGACATTTTAAGAACTACGTTTGTTAGCTTTCTTGTCGAGAGTGAGTTGAGAAGATTGATAGCACTCATGTCTGTAGAGATACAGGCCTTCACATACAGAGAGTCAGAGAAAAGTTTAGAGTGATAAGCTGCTGTTCAATATTAATTCACTGTTCTGAGTGAGCTGCAGAGATTTAGGAGGAGCCCAGGAGCAATTTAGGGGGAAGTGTAGAAAAGCTTAACTTTCTTCAGTTTTCCTCTGACACAACAACAAACAGGCGAGAGCCAAACCCACTTGTTTTAATGCCTGCAGAAACAGAAGCACAGAGTTGTTTGCTACTCCATTCCACTTGTCAAGTGGGGATTGCTTCCAGCACCGATACAGAACCACAATGTCAATCAGTCTTTCCTGCTCGGGTGGCGACGTTGAATTAAAACAATTACAGCGGTGTTACAAAAAAAAGACAGCAAACAGTTTTTCTTTTCTTGGGAAACAAACTGCAACAGAAAATTTACTTGCTTGTGTGTAGTACAGCACCTAAACCAAAAAAAAAAAACCTGTTCAGTTGGGGAAGAGTGTGAATTATGTGCGCACACACACAGAGCTACAGATTTATGAGAAGCACACCTAGAGCTTATTAATTAATACATTACATCTTGTTAGTTTCATTTGTATAAAATCAAAATGTAAAAATAGCATGCAAGTTGTTTCCCCGCGCTTCCAGTCTTTGTTAAGCTAAGCTAATTGACTTCCAGCTCTAGCTTCATGTAATGCACACAAGAGCTTCTAACTCACTGAAATGAATAAATGTCAAAATGTCAAACTATTTCCTCAAAATAATAAGTTTTGACTTTATAAGTTTATTTTAAGTAGTTTTTCTTAGAGAAGAAAGTGTAGAGAGTTAGTTGATGATGCCTTTTTCAAACAAAAATTGGTGACAATTGTGAGCATTAGTCTGAAATACTATCCGTAACAGCTCAAGATTAAACTTTAAGTTACATTATGTGGAGGTCAAGAACTGTCATTTTTATTATTTATATGATTCAATGTTACTGAACCCACATGGAAAATAATATTGTCTTTAACAGATTATTGTGAATATGTGAATGGTTTTCTTTTGGTTTCAAGTTACTGACTGTATGGTGGAATATTTTAATTTTAGCCACAATAAACTGCTGTTTCGCGTCAACGATGACAGATAAATGACCAAGTAGGTAATATTTTTAAAGAATATATTCAACTTTACTTTTTAATGACATCCTATGACTCTTTTAAGTGTGGTATTTTTTGTTGGTACTGTATTCTCTCGTTATTGGTTATATTTACACTGTTAATTAGCAATTCTTTTAGTTTCTTTACATTTTACAGTGTCTAAACAGCAACAGAGCCAGATCCGACTGATTTTTAAAAATAAAATCAGTAAAAAGTCTGATTTTGTCACTATTTGAATGCAGCCCAACAACAAAGACATGTGGGGGGTACTTTCACTCGTGCCTGTTTGAAGAGGAAGAATTTTTTTACCAACACCATAAATATACATGACTAAAATGGGATGTAGGTGCACTCTAAAACTCAGAGACAAGATCCTTGAAAGCAATATGTAGTTCTGTGCTGTAACATTTATACGTGGATGTGGCTTCGAGGTAGAATAGGTCGCCCGCTAATCAGAAGATCCGCGGTGTGTGAATGATTAGTTTCTTTCTGATGAGCACCTTGCATGGTACCCTCTGCCATCAGTGTATGAATGTTTGTGAATGGGGTAAATGTGACACATAGTGTAAAGCGCTTTGAGTGGTCAGAAGACTAGGAAGCCGCTATACAGGACAGCCCTTTTTTCAATAAACAAAAGGTCCAAATGGTGACAAAAATATCCAAAAACCTTAAGGTACCAAGTGTAAAGGACTTTTTACAGTACTGAGTTACCACTTCACTACATGTCCCTTATATTATTATGGTCATTATCTTTGATTGCTACTGAGAAGCATGCAACACTGTGCCTTCATATTGCCCCTTTTCAGGCCTGCAGTGAGAAAAGCAGTGTTGAATATCCAAATTACTGTCGCTCCTTTGAAACAATTTGAACACAGAACTATTTTTGTGGTCAGCTCTAGAAAGCTGCCTAGTTATAAAACCCCACATATATATGCACAAATTATATTGCAATGTTTAGATTCTTAAAGAGAAAAGTCTGACTTTGGTGTGTGGTTTATGTAATATGCACATGCCTCTATGTTCACATGTCATGAAATGAGAAATTTAACTATTTCAAGCACAACGGGAACTCTTTGTTATGAACTGTGACATACTGTACTATTCATAATAAATATTTTATACAGACTGTACCCTGTCTCTTCTCTTTGGGGAATGCACCGTATAACATCCATTCTGTCTTTGTGTTTTGGATCCTCTGCAAGTGATAAGGGCACTTTTCCAAGAAAGTGTAACTCAGCAGGTGTATTCTCCTGCTGATCTTCTTACGTCAGATAAACCTCACAGTTTTGTGCTCCTTTAAGAGGATCCCTCACTGACCCCCTGCTCAAATTGATCCTACTTAGTGCCACAGATGTGATAATCCCGAGAACAGAAATCAACTAATGGAAAGACTCGAGGCTCACCAGAACAAACAAATCCAGATTACAGAGTACTTTTATTATTTACTGACAAAGTAGCTTTTATTACGAGACGAGTTGATTCCCCACTAATTGAGATAAAAAATTAGACCTCTGCAGTTCACAGATTGAGAAACAGAAAACCCTGGGAACAGTCAATTGTGGCACGACAATAAACAACAAGAGGACCTGAGAGAACTTGAGAGTTTTATGTTAATTATGAATCTCAGCGATGGCACCTTGATCTAAAATTCTTCAACTAATCTTCTTGGAAGCCATACCCCGAAGCAGTTTGCTTTCCTTACTATGCACTATGAATAGTAAGAAGATCATATTGTTTTTGCCACATCACACTTTAACCTCAAAAGACTTTTTTTTTAAAAGCACATAAGCTTTTTTTAAAGTAGCTTCCTATTACTTCCTGGGAGAGTTTGTCTTTAAAGACTGGTGATAAACTAGTCACCCCCTACTGGATTATAGAGTTAATTATTTATTGTGATCTGAGCAGATGCAAACACTTTCAAGATGTGCAACTTAAAACCTAGAATTATTTATACTGTACTTTGGTGTGGACCTAAACTGCACCTTTGTGGTAAAACAAAAGACAGAAGCTTTTTCCTCCCATTACATTAGGTCATCCAACTCATCATCCGTGCCCACACTTCAATGGTAAGCCTCGACGTGATGCAAATAACAGTTTTTTACTTTATCTATACACCAATTAATCTGCTGATTATTTCTCGAAAAATCAATTGTTTGGTTTATAAAATGTCAGAATACATTGGAAAAAAAGGCAATCACAGTTTTCCAGAGTCCAAGGTGTTCTCATCAATATGCTGCTTTCAAATGATATAGTAGAAAAAGTAGAAAAACAGCAGCTACTCCTCGCATTTGAGAAGCTGGAACCAGAAAAGTAAAAAAACAAAACGACGAATCTGACTTTTCTGTCAGTCGACTAACTGGTTAATTGACTTAACCTCAAAGCTTTAAACCTTTATTAAAGCCTCCTTTTAACTCATAGTGTGGTGATTTTCATGTTTTTGGACATGTCTTTGACCTCTTTTAAAGGATAAGTCTTTATCTATATATTCTTTATCCTTGTCAACAAATCCCATGAAAAGCTCTGAGCACTGAAGAAACAAGCAGAATTGACCAAACATATTATAACTACAAACCCAACTTAACGGTCTGTTTAGCCAAAGCCTGATATATAATATTCCTCTATGCCATAGAGCTCCATTGTTGTTCAAAACACATCAATGAGCCACACTGGCTGGCAAGTACTAGCATGTTCCTTCATTAGTTTGAATTCGGGCTCTGCTGCAAATTACTGAGCCTTTAAAAAAACTAAACTATATATATATATTTGACCCATTTTTAAAGATTCAGAACAAATGTGAGTGAATGGACTTGTGGGCTGAGTGTCACAGACAAGGTAGGGAAGTCTGATAGTATTGAGAAACAGACTAATAAGTTGTTGGCTTTGGCCTTTTCACTGGATTTGTTAGTGAAAAAAATATAGAATTACACCAGCCTTATCCTTTAAAATTACTCACAAAACTCCCCCGAAATTCTGTGCATTAGGAATTGTCTTCTGTTCTTGAAGAGTTTCATGAGTTGATTATCTATAGGGGAGCATATTAACCCTCAACAGACCCAAAAACACAGTAGAGCGTCCTCATGGTCCTGACGTCTATGTATCAGGACATACACATAAATGACTCAGGTACAGTATGGTTTTCCATTTTAACATTAATGGATATTCATATTCATGAAACTTGAAATACAAGGTTTTAATCCAAACGTGGACTGAGTGATCGTAAAGCTGAAAACGTACAGCTAGGGTTTTTTTCCATCCTTGCTTTAAAAATAGCTTTGCTCCGCAATCCAGCGGATAAATGTCATCTACCAGTGCTACTGTGTTGAATTAAAAGCGTATATGTAACTCCTCTAATGCTTTTTACCAATCCATTTACTAACATTAGTGTTATTCTACTTTACCCAATATCCCTTACATGATCCGTAGGGGTATAATGATACTGATCACGTTTGCTACTGCTCTATTCAGTCTTCTGTGCCTGTTGTCTACCTCTGAATACACAACTGCTTTTGTGGCGAGCTAAAGGAGGACAGTAAATGTGAAATTTGCATTTCTCCGGCTTAGCGCACCACTGAGCAATACCTTATCAGAGGCATATAACCAAGACAGATTCAGGGTCCATATTTTCTTTTATAGTTTCATAGAATAACAGTGATGCAGTGAAGCTTATTGGGTAGAAAACTTGCCACTTGCCACTGCCAAGGCTGCTACTGCAGCTTGCCCTGAATTTACAGTATTACACTCTATCTATATCTATCAGAGTTTGTGTGCACTTAAATTTTCCAAGCACATGACACTCTCTCCTCAGAAGGAATCAACACTGATCCTTTAAGTCTTAGCTTACAGACAGATTGTGCCCAGTCTTGCAGGTTGTGAAAAGTGGCTGCTCAGCTGCACTTCAGCCAGGTTTGGACAGGTTCCGTGGCCACGAGCCAGGTTCGCCACAGGGACTGGTGAGGACAAGGCCCTGGACTCAGCAGGTTGTTCTGGTTGTCCGGTAGCAGGGATTCTGACTCGGACACAAAGTCAAGGTGACTCAGTTGGGTGGGAAGTCCACTCAAGTCCAATCTGAGCAAAGCAGTAGAGGAAAGCCAGCATAGGTGGAGCCAGGGTGGACCAGCCTGAAATGAAATATAATATATATACTCATCTGTAAAAGGAAATATTTAGATTTTAAAAATCTGGATTACTTAAGTGGATTCACGGCAGATTCAGTCCTTCACTAGTTTATCCTGAATCAGGGCAGCTTCCTTTGTAAATACCGATGAATTCAATTTAAATCAGATAAAAAGTATCTGCTACATACTGATGCTTTTTTAAGGTAACTACTACAAAAGACTTGCATTGTTTTACAAGAGCTAGAGAGACAGTAGTAGTAGTAGTAGTTTTCTCTCTGCTGTACTGTAGTGTTACAGTTATTCTCTTTTTCTATTTATAGCTGCTTCTTAGAGGGTCGAGCAGGCAGGTAAGGACAGCTGTCTGCACCTCCTCCCAAATTGGCTTGCCTCCAGATTATCTCAGTAACCTGCACCTGCACCCACAATGCCTTTCAATGGTCTATTCTTTTCTATTCATGTCAAAATCCAATTCACATACACACTTCTTTATGCACAGCTGTACTGTCAGTTTCCTGTCTGCGGAAGAGAAAGGTTACATGGGCTAAAGCTAGAAATGCCATATTGTCATGATAAATATTTTTATGGTATGCTGAAGTGATGTGTTGTGAAGTTGGCACAACACAATATTTTAGTATGCAGGAAATTAGCATAATTTGCATGTGTCTTTAAAATAGAGCCTTGATGATGTTTTCAGCAAATGGCAGCTAATTATTTGTGTTAGTTTAATCACATTAGACAAATTTTGAACAATTTTAAAGCGCACCTTTGAATATTATGCCTTTCTGACATCTAAATGAATAAATCAAAGCTTTTAGCCCAGGGCCTTGCTGCCAAGATGCCCCTGCGTTTTGTCTTTGCAGGTATGTAAATTTCATTAACAGCCGCAGTGTGAAATATATTCTCCAACCAGTCATCCAACTTTTACCGTTACTTACTTCAAACTAAAATAAAAAAGCAGAACTTGGGGAAGCATACACTACTAGCCAAATGTGAGTACTTTTGGCTGAGTATTAGAACAGGCTCTGCCATTCTTCAGAAATCTACTAATTACTAAGACCTGGCAAAGACACAGAGAGTGGAAAAAGTTAAATGAATAACCTGTTTCCTCCAGTTGCAAGTTACTATGGCTCTAGTCAACCAGTGCTGTAATTACACCACAGTTTCTTTTGCCACTTGATTAACAGAGTGTTTCAATTTCAGTTTAGGTGAAAAGGCCACTTGCACAGAGGCAAGTCAAAGCTAAATATAAAAATGGTTAGTGATCAGGGACTGTGCTTCTCAGTAAATTAGAAACTGACATCTTGTAGGTTTTGCTCTTCCTTCTCTATCTCTCTGGATACATTATCATTAGACGAATAGAAATAGTTTTGTTTTGCCATGCTAGTGGCATGGATTGCCATGAAATTTGGTACAGACATACATGGTCCATAAATGAATCTTACTGACTTTGATGACATCCTGTCCTACCATCTTGTGCTATCATCAAGGTCAAACTTTTTATTTGCAAAAGTAATGCCATTTCCAGCCTCAGCTGCACTTTGTGTTTAGTGTTATGCATTAACTAAGCCTGCAGAACATCATCATGTTAGCATCGTCATTGTGATGCTGACATTGGTATTTACCTCAAAACACTGCTGTGTCTATGTACAGCCTCACAAAGCTGCTAGTGTGACTCTTGCATCTTGTTTTTCTAGAAGTCATGGTGTTGGCAACCAGAAATGGAAATAATCCATTGTCCTACTCAAGTAAAAGTACCATTATTTTACTGATATTATCCTTAGACAAACAAAAAAAGCACTAGTCAAAACTCTACTGGAGTAAAACAATTAAAAAGTAGCTTATTTTAAATATATTCAAAAGAGGCTTAAGTAACTTATTTACTTCTTAGGTAGGAAACATTGTTGGAAATGATCTTTATAACTTTGAAAAAACAACCGAGCTAAAATTAGATTGCATGACAAAATGGAAATTGTAAATAATGTAGTAGGGCACAAAGTAAAGCTGAAGTACTGATCAATAGTGATTGACCATTCACTATATGTCCCTCTTAACAGTCTTAACAGAAATGAGATAGGAATGAACTGAACTAAAAAAAGACATTTTTTATTCCAGTTATTATAATAATATTGAATGTGATGATTCGTAGTTTTGAGTAAATATTGAGCACTCTGTCTACTGGTATGTTTACAATTTTAAAAACTTTCTATGTCACTCAGCACTATGACTTTAGAGTGATCTTACATGGAGGGGCATGGGTGGCAAAGATAACACACACACACACACACACGCAACTTCATACATCGTGAGTAGGGATGCAACTAACGATTATTTTCATTATCAATTAATCTGTCGATTAGTAGATTATTCGATTAGTTGTTAGGTCCAGAAAATTGTGAAATGTCAATCTGTTTCCCAAAGCGACATCCTCAAATATCTTATTTTGTCCACAATCCAGATATATTCAGTTCACTGTCATAGAGGAAGAAAGAAACCAGAAAATATATTCAGTTGAGAAGCTGAAATCAGAGAATTTGGAAGTCAGACTAAAAGTGATTTATTGATTATCAAAATAGTTGCCAACAATTTTCATAGTCGACAACTAATTGATTAATCGACAAATGGTTGCAGCCCTAATCCTTAGTCAGCATATACGACTAAGGATTAGTCAGCATATACACAATGTGAATAGTAATTTGTCTTTGTCTGTACCAGAGAGGTCAGAGTGCAATTACGCCAATGCCTGCACCAGTAACAATCCCAGAAAGGCTGATTTAAAAGCATTGATCGCACAAGATCGCAAACCACTATTCCCCCTCAACTGTGCAGACACATGCATACACAAGGAATGGCTTTAGGCATTTCTGGTGGATGCATTATTTTTCAATTTAAACCACAAAAACACAAGCGCTCAGTGAAAGTAACACAATATTTAAGTGGTTTAGATTCTATAAGTAACTTTATTATTGCCATGCAACAATTGTTTTGGTACAGCATGGTAGCTCAGTTCCAGTATAGTTTGTTCAATGGTCTATAAAAAAATTTTAGGTAAGCATCAGGCAGTGCCATATCTTCATTTTTAATTTTTTAATGGTCCAAATTAATCATCATAAAAGCAAACTCACATTCTGTTTGTAGTTCTTACTCTGAATAATTAACAACATAAGTGGTATTCTCAAAAAACCTGTTCTTATTTTTAGGTTTCTTTTGACTTATCTACACCAAGTCTTCAGTAATGTGTGTGTGTGTGTGTGAAAGAGGTCAGGAGTGCGAGAAGAAGTCTAATGTTTCACACAATTTGCTGTGAGCCTGTCAGACTTCCAACACTGTCCTTACTGTTAATACAGCTTAACAGGTGACTGGAATATGACCTTCGTTGGGATGCTTAGGATTGACTTTAAAAGGCCCAAAGACAGTGTGATATAATCGTAAGTGAATATGTCCTAGTCTGAAAAACCAATAAAGAGTAAAACAATGACTGTAGAGAACAGAGATTATAAGTCGAAGTACAAGTTGAAAGGTTTCTTTGTAAAACAGAAGGGACTTAACATTTTGTAAAATGTCAAATTGAGTAATTCAATTTGAAAGAAAGAAATTCTCCTAAATGTTCGTATACCTCTACAGAGAGCGATGAATCTGAAACTTGTGGCAGAGCTAGCTTTAGTGTTCGTCGTTTGGATTTCGCACCTTGCTGGTGGACCTACAGTTCACATTCATAGTGTTTGACTTTTAACCCTGATCATACAAAACCTTTCTTGTTATTAAATAAGGGTTGGGCGATGAATCAAATTATATTATCAATTAGAATTTTGGCTTCCAACGATTATGGAGAAGAAATGATTATTGTAACGCACTCAGTTCCACAATGATGTTCTTGTGTTGTAAATTACCCTTACATTTACAGCAGCGGCTCCAGCAGCTCCCTAAAAGCCCAAACTCCCTCTCAGCCAGGGTGTGGCGTGTTTAATCGTGATCTCAGTAGTGACCAAAGTAATCATGAGTATGATTTTTACTATAATCAAGCAGCCCTATACTAAATTATATAAAGTATATGATATGACGTATCAGAACTGAGCTGAGCACTGACTTTGCCGAAACCCAGTGGCTAGTGCAGCTCAGACTGCTTATCATGCGTAGAAAGGCTTCAGGAGAGCCTGCCATGTTGCTTTAGGTACCAAATGAGCCAAATAAAGGCACTTGGCGCAAAACAGGGACTGGCACAACCATGAAGCAGATGTCGCTCTATTTATGAGAGTTTGCCCATACAGATGCATAAACAGATGCAGAGCATCAATATCCACTGATAATACTGCTAAATATGCAGACTTGGTGAACAGCACCATTTTAAATATATTTTTTGAAATATTTTATTCATGATTTTATGCCCATGCGAGTTGGCTTCTCTCTGGCTGTTACTTTGGACATTCTATCTTTAGCTGATGTCAACTCTGGAGGAGAATGTGAAATCTCCTACAATGCAACTAAACTGTCAGATTAAAAGACCGCATGGCTCCAAATTGTAAACAAATATATAAATGCCAGCTCAAACAATCCTGCAACGTAAAAAGGCACACACAAATCCTATTGAGTCAGTGTTGTGGAAGGAAGTTTACCTTGAATGAAGACACGTTTCCAGAAAATTCGGCCAACATGTATACCCCCGAGGAACACCAGATTAGAGAGGATGAGCATGGCAGTGGAGAAGGCAGAGAGAAGGGCAATGCAACGCCTTTCCATTGCCGCAGAGAAATTCTGCTCCTGGGAAATCAGTAAATAAATAAGTAAATTGCAGGCGAACCACAAGAGGTTTTTTCATTATAAATCTGAGAAATAAAGAAAACCACAGCAACTACTAACTAGGATGCCATCAGACTATTTTACTATTTTAAGAACATGAAACTTCTCCCAAGACTAGAGGCCAAAGAAGCAAGAACAGCCTGAACGTCAATTGTTAATGTCTTGGAAAATTACTTTTACTCACATAAAATGTGTGGGTTAACTGTATGCCAATTAGATGTGACAGGATCCTACCAGTTTGTGTCTTTTCTGTACTTACTGTAGCAGCTCCAGGCATGATATTTTATTAAATCAGATCGTATCACCCCTTTAAAACCCCTTTCAAACTACAGCAAAAATGTCATGTCCTCACATCTTAACTGGATGGAATAATCTCTATGTAGACTTTTAACCAAATGTGTTTGCACTGTCAGAGGTGTATGTATGTTTGGATTTCAAACTTACAACAATGGAGTTAATAAAGGATGAGGCAAACAGAGACTTCATTCCAGTTTCCACCAGAACTCCGGCCCAATTCATTAGGGCCCAGTACTGTAAGTAATCATGGCCACCGTGCCAGAGGCAAACGAATCCAAATGCAAGGCCAGTGGATAAGATTTTGTAAAGATGACCATGCCGTGAACCTCCCAACGGCACATAGATATATCTGGAATGTGAGTACATAACATGAAAGAATCAGTCTCTAAATGCAATCAGAATGATTTAAATTTTACAGCTCTTTAAAGGGGATTATAACCTGTCCAACACACAAGATAACAGGAAATAAATGATGATAAGAGACAGATCTTTAGCAAGGACAGGACAAAGATGCACTGCAGTCAGTGAAAAGTACATATTTAAAACATAGAGGGTTTGAAAATGGCACAAACGTGCACCAATGAATTGGTCTGCCTGTCACATAAATTATCATGTCATGTTCATTGATTTTTAATCAAATAAATGTTGCTCTGACGTCCAGTACAAAAATAGAGACACTCCAGGGAATATCAATCCTGCTGAGATGGTGATAATGCTGAAACTAGGTTAATGATTCCAAAATTGTTTCTGTGATTCACACCAAACCCTTGACACATGTTTAACCCACTTTCTACGTCAATTTGATGTTTCTTTATTGCTTTAGCTGATCCTACCTTCTTGTTTTTCTAAATGATTAAATAAATCTGATTCCAACATGCAGGAATGTAAAACGAGAACCTTAAACTGAATCCTGAACCTGACGAGGAGCTAATGTTAACGGTGACAGGATGGGTGTGATGTGACTTGTCCTGTTAGACCAGGTCAACAGCCTTGCAGCAGCATTCTGGACCATTTGTAGATCGTCGAGGACGACCTGCTGAGGCAGGTGAAAAAGGAGTTGTAGTTGTATATATTAATGATGTCAAGTTCCGGTTTTGACACAACAAATTTGAGTCTTGATTTTATGTGTTGCTCAAAGTACATAGATTAGTCAAATAATATAATATAATACCAAGATTTCTGAGGTTTAACTGAAGAAAGGAACCCAATACAATGAGTGATCATGCGAGCTATGCTGTCAGAAGCAACAATAAGGACCTCAGTCTTGTCTGTGTTAGGCTGTAAAACATTGTTAGCCATACAGTCCTTAATGACTAGGGATGTTACCATTTAGTTGTCAATACAGATTCCAGTAACATTCCTCGATTCCAGTGTGGTACAAAATAGAAACAACATAACAAATCCCATATACTTCAAAATACAGTCTTTTAATAAAAACTTGAACATTACAAAAAACAACTAACTGCTGTGAAAGTTGTGAGAGGATGTCCAGGACAGATGAGAGGTGATTTGATTTTAATATATTCATAAATGAGCAAGCTATTGAAATTACAACCTGGCAATTAATCAAAAAATAATTACTTAATTTTCTTAACTTTTCTTAACAAACTCACAGGTGTGAAATGTTCAAGGATGATGACTTTCTATATTAGCAGTTCTCTGATATTTTTATATTGAGAAACAAAAACGTTATTGATGATTAAAATGGACGGTATTGTACTTTTGAGACAGTCCATAACCAAAACCCACAGTAATAGGAGCGTTCGACAGACATTCAGTTCTTAGCGCTGCAAACTGCATCATCAACTTTGGTGATTTTTAGGTGATCAACACTGTGAAACATCTGCCTAAATTAGCTCTCCAACTGTGAGAAATTGAAATATCGAGGCTTTGACACAAGCTATTGAGGGTAACAGCCGCGAAACTAACTTCATTCCTACAAGTCAAGGCGGAGCTGTGGCTGCAGCTGCACTTGCCACTCTTTCATGTGTTGGTTCTTCGGTACCTTCGGTACCTAGCAAAACGAGTACAGACATGCACATCGACATGGTACCGAAGTGTCGGTTCTCGTGACATCCCTATTAATGACAGTCAAGCAGTTGTCCGGTGCAGTCAACTTGTCAGTTTCATTAGGCTTAAAGGAGACATACAGCTGGATATCATCAGCATAACAGTGATAGGAGACAGCTTTAAATTTGCTAATAATGTGACCTAAGGGGAGCATATACAAAGAAAATAAAATGGGGCCCAAGACAGAAGTTTCAGACATGTAATGACCCAGCGACACAGAAAAACGCTCCCAGTGACAACCACCCATGGCCTTTTAGTCAGGATGCGGTGATCTACAGAAGCTGCAATAAGATCCAGCAGCGCCAGAACAGAGCACTGACCCGCCTCAGAAGACATCAGTATGTAATTGGAGACCCTATGAGCTGTTCAGGTTAATGCTTCTGACGGAAACCAGATTGGAATTTCTCTCAAATGTTGTGTTCAGTTAAGATGGTATTGAGCCATTTGGCAACAACTTTCTCTAAAATCTTTGAGACAAAAGGCAGCTTGGAAATAGACCTGAGGTAATTTATCAAACAGCAAATATCTTACATATGACATAAACATGTCATTTTACTGTGGTTTAAATGAGATTACACTTCACGTGGACTAAAAATAGCAGCTGTATATTCATGTGATAGCCCACTTGATGTGAATAATATCCCATAAATCGTAGAATGTGGTGCATGTCGCGAAGAAAACATGTCTCAGATGTTATGAGAACCTCATCTGTCCCAGAGGTACTGGGAGTGCCAACATGCTAGATCACTCCAACACACTTACAAACAAACATCCTATTCTGTCTAGTGTTGCTGAGCTGAAAACTAATTATCTCAGTCACCCTGTGGTTAATCAATGTTCCTGAAAGATGAGCCAGCATTTTCTGAGCCTTAAATAGAGTGGCCAGCCAGCTTGACCATATTGGAGGATGAAAGTATGTGCGAAAACAGATGGAGAGGAACCAGTGTTAGAGCAAGAGCAAATGGAATACCTAAACATACTGAGTACCTATCCATCCATTTAAATTAGTCAGATGTAGATGGATGCTAAACAGATGTTAATCAAAATATGATCATTTTTTGATATACATTAATACCCTGAATAATCAACGTGTTATGTAACACCTGCCTGCTGCAAGCAGATGGTCCAAGCAACATACAGGCTTTAAAGACTGACAGTAGGAATGTGAATTGGTGAGAATTGTTGGTTTCTATAGAGACTATACGGTGTACTCGATCTTTCTTGCTTTAAGTGCAATCACACGTTAAATGCTGACCCTCTCCACCCCCACCCCCCACCCCACCCCCAAACCAAATCCATTGCCTCTACTTATTTATTTACAACTCATTTTCCCCAGGATTTCTTCCAGGTTCCTTCTCATTCGCAACTGTAATAACTTAATCAAACAGCCGGTAAGAGATCTTTTGTTGGTCAATAACTGGATGTGTGTGTGAAAAAGAGAGCCCGAGACAAAGGAATGGGCGAAGAATGAGCCACTTAGCTGCCCAGGGAGACGAGGTGTCAGTGAGTCATGTGGAGCACATCATTTAACACCTACGCACTCATCTAGCGCTCTTCAGACAATTTCAGCAGAATTTCAGAACTGCATTAAAACCTCTTTAAAAGCACTTTTACAAGCAAGAACGTCGGGGCATTGTGTCATGCGTATCATTTTGCATCTGCAGTAAGATAATTACAAGTGATGCCATTAAGCAGGGGAAAACAATTTTCAATAGGCAATGATTAGAATGGAAACTTGCATTTGCAATTTAAATTGTGGTATATTTAGCAAATTACTTGCAGCCACTTTAACAGTCCGATATGCCACATTTCATTCTAAGCTCATCTTTAACATCTGAAAAGCAGATTTACATGTAGTATAAACCATCATACATGTAGAACACCACCAAAAAAACCCTGTCAACTCAAAAACTAATTAGCGAACAATAACCAAGACAAGGGAATGTTTTCACAGAATATAACAATGTGGTTTCTGACAACCGTGCATCTGTAGTGTTGCCTTAACGTAGCAACCCGCCTCTACCAAGCGGACCATAAACCCCCAATAGGCTGCATTCAGCCAAGTGTGCATCATTAAAAGCAGACGAACTGATAATGTGCGTTGTCTAAAGTACAAGTGAGCAAACACGTAATGCTTCCTTTACATATGCGCATATTAAACAAGGAGGCATTTCTCCAGGGTGTGGGAACAGTAACACAACAGAGGAACTATTAAACAACATGAAACCTCATGATCATGAAAGCCTACATGCAAATACAGCATCCTTGTCCATTATGATAAAACATGCGGGCAGGCAGCTGAAGAACCTTCTTTTAAGTTTTTAAAAATTTAATTGACAAGTTTAATGCCCTGTAGGAAATTTACAATAAGTGCGCAATAAATAACAGATACAGTATGATTAGACAGAAAAAAGATAAAACAGATTAGATAGATAAATAGTCAGCCAGATAGATAGACAGACGGATTAAACATTTTGGACAGACAGAACAGACTAGACAGATATATATTCTAAGAGCTATTATTTGATTTAAATGACATATCACATTTTTAGTAAGCATTAACATCTGAATTAGTCTGTCCACTGCTCATGAAGTGCCTCTTACCTGATGAGCCATCGATACAGGCCCTCGTCAAAGTGCCTGAGAGTGAAAAAAAGGATAACATTTACATAATAATATAGCACTGAGTAAGAAACACCTGTGCACTGGGGTTCATATAAACTGAAGCGTGTGCAGTTTGTCCTGTATGATGCCCGTCTGTTTGTGTGCTTGCTGTTTGTCATTGAGAAGATTAAAAAAAGCTTTTTGTCATTCTTTTTTTTGCAACCTTGCCTATAAACTGAAGCGGTTTTGTCAATGATGTCAGTGGACAGTTTTATGCATTCCATCAATGTTGTCAACATTGGCCTGCTCAGCACACACAGGCTGGATTGGTGTGCGTCGGTGTCAGCACATTGGTCGATCTAGTCTATCACCAGTGTATTTTTCCTGCAAAACCAAACACACTGCCTTCCACCTTAATTGTATGTGTTCAAAATTCGGAGAGCATTTTCTCATTGTTAATTACATTTAAGAACACAGCGATGAGAAAGTGGCATAAACTGCTGTGATACTCTACACTTGCTGGTAATTTAATTTTTGCTGACTCAACTTTATGATTATTTTGCTTACTATCTGATGTTAAATTTTCACTATTTTATTTTAATTATGCCTGATATAAAGAATTTTGTAACATCTGTTCTCAACAGTGCTCTACAAAAAAAACTGTTATTATTATCATTATTTTGGAGGATGCTATTGAACCGTCTTGCATTATAGGGCGCTGTGTTTTTTTTTAGGTGTTATTTAGCCAACCCTCATTGATATAAAAGGGGTGGACAAAATAATATAAACACCTGTCAGTGTAATACAATTCAGTTCAACGGCACCACAAACTGAAGCCTCCAGATTGATCCTACAGTTTAATCATCACCAAGATGGGATTTAAGATATTTGCCGTGTAGCAGCCTGAAGTCTTTGTCCAGAAGTGGTGTGCATCAGAGGAGCTCAACACTAAACACAAATGGCACTGTGACAGAAAATGTTTACCATTGCATATACCTGTATGTCCAGAACTATCTTTCCAAGTAGTGGAAATTTGTTGTCTCAAGCCTTTTTATACATGAAGTCTTGCTGATTAATGAGCTTTATCCCTGTGTAAGGGGCACTGCAATGTGTGTGTTCATTAACTTGAGCAATTGTGACCCCTTCTGCATAAACCAGGCATAGTCTTTTACCTTTGCTTTGTAACAAAACGGTCACATGATCTTACAGTTTTTCACAATTGTTTATTTACAATTGGACCTTGATTGATAGCACAAAAAAATCTGGATGAAACAGGTCTATAGGTTGCCATTTCAGCAAAACTCAAGAGGGTTAAAGAGCATTGCTCACTCACTCAATCTGTTTTTCCACAATAAAATAGATTTGACCTGTCATTCTGATTGCCAGTAATGACAGTGGATTTCACTGCGACCAGTCTGAATGTCACCAAGCACAGTGAGAATTTAGGGCACTGTCTTTAAGGATATATAGGAGCAGGGCTTTCCACAAACATATGGCCTAACCAGCCAGAGGGATCTGGAGGCAGTTTTCAGTGGACTTTTTTAATGTTATTATTTCTAACTATTTAATTTGAATCAAAAACGTATACAATAAAGTAGCTTTTCCAGTCACTTAAGTGTTGGAATGCTCCGAGATCAAACCGTATTAACTGTATGTTGGTGGTGTCGGTTGGTTATGATCTTACCTCCACATCCCTGTAAAACTGTACATGATGCTGACACAACAAGGAAGCTTTGGGGGAACTAGTTTATCCAAAGTAGCCAGCATGGATGGAAGGCCAAACAGTATCAGATACTTCACATAGAAGAACTGGACGAGGGCCAGGGCCAGACCGCCTGTGACAGGGGAAAAACAAGACTAATATTTCTTATTTGAATAATTAAGACAAGCTCTGTACTTCCAAAAGAGAATTTTCCTGTCTTATAAGTCAAGTAAATTTTATTTATATAGGCCAAATTTACAGATTTGCCTCAAATGGCTTTACAATCTGTAGCCTACTCCATAAAACACTTCTTGATGAGATTCTGAGAACTTGTTAAGCAGAATTACAAAAAGGGGGCCTGTAAAAGATAATGACTCAGTTTGTCTATATGTATATAGAAATATCCATAGCTGCTTAGACAACTATGAGGCAGATAGGACAACTCTGACTAAGTAAATGACTGACTGAATGAATTAGTGATATAATCCCAGAAGTGCTTTATGTCTAAAACATAATCAACATGAGGGTATGCATGCAGAGTATCTATAGACCACAGCAGCGACCTGCATAAATGACATTAACACACAAACGGGCTATTAGAGGGTAACCTGGCTGAGTATGCCTTCAACTTGTGAGAGGACGTAAAATATAATAAGTTATTGACAGACACCAGTTCTGTCACTTAATTAAAATACAAACAAAATCACACCATCAATCATGACGACTGGAATGAAAATCAACGCCAATGAGTGAGTCAGTAATCAACATATCTGATGGAGTTTTAAATTCTGCATCTCAAATAAATATTCAATGTGTGTCTGAAGTGGCAGGGACACATAAATGCTAAAACACAATGTTGTGCTGTATATGAAAAGTTAAAAATACATACAGTATAAAGACTTACCCAAGGCCCAAGGTGGAAGGATTTCTAGGTAAGTCTCATTAGACTGGATGGAGTGCATGTACATAACATGGATCATGTATTCTGCAATGCACCACCACAGAATGATCCGTACTGATCTGAGCGCCAAGTAACTAAAAGCAGAATCATCCCTGTCACCCTCAGCAGGCCTCTGCATCTGCAAGTGTAGAAAGTGAGCATGTTGTTAAGTGTTGCTGGTTGAATCTGCTCTACTAAAAGAACAACTACCAGGCGATGGGAATGAAAACAAGCAGGCATAAAAAGGTAGACCAATAAATGGCAGCCATTCTCTACAAATTTGAAACATTCAAGTTATTATCCTCTTGTAAATTGCCCACTACTGATGTGTTGTATATTTACCGTTTTCAAAAAGGCGACCTGAGATCATGTGTACTTACGAGCAATCAGCCTCCTCCATACAAAAACAAAAGCAGCAATTTTAGACTAAATTTCAGTTGCAGTTTTATTCAGGAATAACCTTTTGTTGGCTCTCTTACCTGCTCAATGTAGTCTTTGTACGTGATAATGGGCCCATTGTAAAAAAACGGATGATAGAAGGTGTATGACAATAACCAAGAGAGCTGCACAACGCCACCACGGTCTAGAGGGCACCAGCAATGCTCGAGGCTGAAGCTGATGAAGCGTAGCCCACAGACAGCAACACTGAAGAGTAGCAGATAGTACTCCTCCTCGGTCTTATACCAGCCTCTCTGCGTAATACAGAGCGAAGGCCAATTATTTTTAACATATTCCACGGGAATACTTATATTAATAGTGACAGTTTAACACTAAATTCAGAAATGCTTTTTAAAATTGCCCTTAATTCAAAACATGATACATATTAAAATTAGAACATTGGCATATAACAGCAAATTTAGATAACATAAGATACATACACATAAAATATGTCTACACATACAAATAAACATGCTTAAGACTACTTTAAATTAGGTCTGCTTAACAGCACTGGGAATGTCTCTGTTGTCAAAGTCCTGGTTGAACACAGGGCCAAACTGTATGCAGTGGTGTGTGCGTGGGGGGCGAGGAGGAAAGCAGGCAGATTTTAAAAAGTATGCACAGGTCTGTCAGGTTTTTTTCACCTACTACAGTAAATTTAAATGTCAAACCATTGTGACTGGAGCATAGCTGGCTCTAACCATGCTTGGTGCGTCAAATTGTGCTGTGCAGGTAAAGGGTGTTTTTAGATCACAGGTTTATTCCCTGTACATAATGAAATACTAAGAATCAGTGTCCTTAGTAACCAATCAATGTAGAGGTGAATGGAAATAAGATCCTAAAGTCACATTATTTCATAATATTTTGGGGTCTGTGATTCAAGGATGTTTAGTAAAATCTCACTTTGTTGTGGCTCTTCTTTCATTTTCACAGCAGTACATTTTTCTCTGAGGACTGTCTCTAATTGCCTTTCGATGGTAGCTATTTTCAAATGTTTGTAGGAAGACACTGAGCTAACCCTTAGGGAATAATGGAAATGACCTGCTTGATACTTATGGTGTCAATAAATTCATTGAATTTTTATCTTGTGATATGTACATAGATTAAAGGAGTTGAGTGGCCAATTGGCTGTAAGTCCCCTTAATATCATGCGCCCTCTTGTGTTCTTTGCAAATATGACATTTAGTGATAATAGGTAGGCGAAACAATGAATAAAATCTGATTTAACAGTGATTCTAAAAATGTACCTCTAGTACCATAGTAAATGGAAAATTCATAAAGACACAAACAAGTGACCCTCATTCCCCCTAAATCTTCATAGAGGTGTGTGAAGCAAACAATATGTGGTGTATAACATATGCATTTGACCATTACAGTTTAACATAATACTCTGCAGCTGGAGAGAGGGACAGTGAACCCTTATGGGGAAGTAATGATTGATGGGTGTACCAAGAGTGAACCCTCCTATAGAATTTGACCCCTGACCCAGAGCTGGAGAGAGACACAGTGGAAGGGGAAGTGGTGTCTAATAGATGGTTACACTTATTCTACAGCACTGTGCCCTTATATGGTATTTAGCAGAGACCTAAACATGTCTTATATAAGCTGTGTTCAATGTACAGAGAGACAGAGTGGCCATCAGGCTGGGTCACTCTCCAAGCTGCTGCAGAGCTTGTAATTGATGCTGAATTCTTTGATGTAATAAACTTTTATAATCAAGAACAGTGTCAAGCGGATTTCTTCTCAACACATCATCGCAGCATTATTGTTCGGACACCACAAACATTTAAAAACATATTTAACCTAACCCTTTCACTTTTTGCAACCTATCTTTTACTTGTCTGTTTTATCATTTTAATGCAAGATTTAGTCATATTTAGTTATATGCAAGTATAATCCAGGTGATACAACCCACCTGGATCTCTTGAAGTGGTTGGAAGTTAAGTGTGGAGAGCAGCAGCAGGTTACAGGCCCACGACACAGCAGGCTTTCGTAGTTGGGCCACTGAAAAGCACAGGCCCAGATGTACCAGCAGCACACTAACACCTTTAATCCCCAACACACAGCTGGCTGCTAAGAGGCCATATATCGTAAGCGCTGGCACCCTAAACTGTTGGAGAAAACATAATAAATGTGCTGCATTAAAACACCTGCCACCTAACAGCAATATATTACTTAAGAGTACTGTGGCAGCCGCTTCCTACCTTGGGGTAAAAGATGCTGGTCAATCTCGATATGACACCATGACCAAAAAGAGTCCACAGCAAAGACTTCTTAGCCCATTCAGTCCAGAAACTCCACTCAAAGTCTGATGGGTCCTGACAAAAGCAACTAACTTCACCATAAGGCTTTAAAACATGTTAGAAGGCTTTGAACGGTCAAAATGTGTTAAGCGCTCTAATTGCTATGTATCAACAAAATGGATAGTCTTTGTTTTTAACTTTAAAAAAGCCTTTTTAGTTTCTGTGAAAACAAAATATCTTAAATTAGGGCTGTACACTATGGACTTACAACAACACATTTGTTTTCAGTAAAATGAACCGTAATGTTGGTTAGGATTGGGCTTTTAATCAGCAATGTCAACATTGAACTTACCCTTTGAAACCCCTTAAGAAGGCCTTTTTCCAACTGGAATTCTCTCTGTAATCCTGCTTCATGCTCTAAGGTACAAAACAGGAAATAACAGGAATTTTTCTTAACCTTTTCTTCTGAATTGATTGAACTAACATAACCACCAACTATCTATCTACCTACCTTACCTTTGGAGAACCTGTGGAGTTGGTAGAAAGAGTACAGATGAGAGCCAAAGGACAGCACCCAATACACAAGGATCTCTGTCCATGGCAGGGGTGCCAACTGGGCCTTTGATTTAGATTTCATCAGGAAATGTCACTGTGCTATAGAGCACCTAAAAACAGAAAATTGAGTTGTTTAAATGTAATTAAAATCATACAATGTCTCTCTTCAATAAAAGCTAGATGAAAATGTAATCACATAGATATCAACAACCTGCACGGATTTCTTTATCAAACGAAACTATGGTGCTGTACCAGCATACTGCAGCACCATACACATTAAATATATTTTTTAAATAAATGAAACGACATATGATTGTATTAAAATGTTTTATTGTTAGCACCATAATATTTGGAACCCCTGGGAACACCAATTAATGGTGGCAATATATTTGTTCATGGGAATCTGTGCTAATTTGAGTCTTTCCTTCAAAAATATTCTGGATTCAAAACATATTTTCAAACATACTGGCTGTTGAGTAAAGTAGCGAATGGCAACAGACACATGTCAGAGTTTAACATTATGTAGTATCACATGGGGCAAGACATAATTCTAAGTGCAATTTTAACAAAAAACACAAAATTGCGTTAAGGTTTGTGAGGTTTTTCAAAACATTAACCAACAGGAATCAACAAATCGGCAGGTAGTAGCGATTACTGTCGTTGCTAGGTAACACTGCGCCCAGTCGCTGATGACTATGACGTAGTTCAAACGGACAAAGTACAGTAACCGTTAGCTACAGTCTGAAGTGACCAAACCAGCTACGTTAACTTAGCATCGTGGAGAAGTTGATCGCATTGGCATTTGAGATTATGAAGAGACCACTAAGACCAAGTCGGCGTTTTCGTGCCATTTGTTTTATTCCCATATTGTACGTTTACCTGAAAAAGCCCGTAAGCAATCCAGTTAGCTAACGTTAGCTAAACTGCGCTAGCTAATCATTTGAAGAAGTTACCTAATAAAAATGGGCTGGTGTCCATTGCGTTGCTGTAAATTGTAGACTGCACTGTCAGAAAGCGTTTGGACCGTAGGAACACAACGTCAATACGCCACCGGTCTGCAGCATTCAAAGGTACTGTATTCTTCTTCCTTTTTCCTTGTTTTATTCATGAAGACAGAGGACTTTTTAGAGCATCACCGCCCCCAACTGTGCAGGAGTGGGTCGTTTACGCCAGAAAAACCTACTGGATATCCTGTAGGTTTTAGCCAGAGGTGAAAAGAAATACTATAGGAAATACTATAGTAGATAGCAATAGAAAGAAATACTAAGTGCAAGTACTGCAGTTGATTATGTCACTTTCATTTTATGCCACTTTGTAGTTCCATTTCACTACTACAAATATTTGAACGTTTTATTTTAAAATATAAAGTATTTAATAAAATCATTTAACTACCCAGCAATGAACTACTTAAAATTAGTCCCGCCTCAGCCAACTAAAACATTAAAATGCTACGAACACAATAATGCATCTATAATAATAATAATCCCGTGACATAATGTAATACTCTTATAGTACTTTTACCTTTACCTTATCTTATTTAAGGTACATTTGGATGCTCATACTATTGTACTTACTTAAGTAAAATTGTGAATGTAGGAATATTAATTAGAGGGATAGTAATTAAGTATTTTACAGTATCAAAGTGAGAAATGGTTTTAGCCTAAATCCTTCATTTGAACTAACAAATTGGAAGCAATAATTATAGTAACATACAAATAAATAATAAACATCATGTAACTTGATATAACTTGATACCCTGATATAATAATAAAAAACTGTTTCCTAGAGTAATTCCTTTTTATTATATAATAAAATAGAGAAAATATAGAGAAGCGAAGCAAAGGGGTGCAGATTTAAGTAATGAATCAACACTAAAATAGGGTGGAAAATAAACTAGAATAACCTCCTAGAAATAAAAATACATTTTACACTGCTAAAACGCCACCATCCACCCACCGGCCACTGCTGCCACATTTACACAGTCTAAATTAAAGCTCAATAGTCCAGGGAGTTGGTGTGTCTTGGTTCTATACAGTCTATGGTTCTGTCCCTTGGGACCGCGACACGAGACCATGGACTTTTGTGTCGCGATTTCAGTCTCGTCTCGGTTCCAGAACCGTTGCAGCCCTACTTTTTATAAGATAGCTTTTCATGTCTTAAAATGATTGCTTTTGCATACAAATGTATTTGAATTATTAAGGATTTTCACACAAAATGATTTCACTTGACATTTTAATAGGGTTGTTACAGTTTGAAATGGTTTATTGCGGAGAAAGTGTGTTGGTACAGTATGTTAATGGATCTGCAACTGACTCTATGCATGTATCCTGAATTAGACAGGTGTGTAGGGTTTTCATAGCTCAACAAATTATCAGAGAATCTTAACAACAAAAAAGGCGCTGGGAAATAACAAATATGGTAACAAGTTAACATCAAGACAGCGTGCAAAACAGCAACATAGCATAAATCTGTCCTTCATACATTCTTTCCTCATTGACTACATCTGCAACTTCTCTCCAACTGTTCTGACAAATCAAAGGAGTGCTTAGGCTCAGCGAATGAACTTAACAAATAAATGTTTGATGTTTCATCTCCCCATAATCTCTATGTCTTGTTTCTTTGCCTTACAACCAAATACAGAGCAAAATGAGAACATGACCACATTTCATGTACGCTTTCAGTTATCCATTCAGAGATTCAAATTCATCAATTTAACAGTTAACTGTAGGTTTGTCTGTCATGCGTGTGCCTGCTAAGGATTATACATGCATTCGTGCGTGCGTGCGTGTGTGTATGTGTCTGTGCACAGTGAGTGTAATCACAGTATGAATATTTTTTCACAGCTCGTCTGTCTCTCCATCGAAGGGCACAGCATCCGTCTCCATATGAATGCTGCTGGGTTCACTGCTGCCCACCCAGCCAATGGGAGTGCGGTTGAAGGAAGGCCGGCAGCCGATGTCATGCTGGTACACCACTGCAGGTTCAGGCTCCTCTTTGATTGCCTCAGCTTCTGGCAGCTGGAATTTCATGAACTGGTTGGCCTTCTCAAAGCCTCCAAAGGGCATGGCAGTCCTAGCAAAGCAAGGTGAGAAGATTATTGAAGCCCCTGTTCATCACAAAGTGCATACAAAGTCAAGCCTTCAGGGAGATACCTGTTGAAGCTTTTGTACTTGCGGATGTCCTTTTTCTCAGTGGGACCAGGCATTGCAGTTTTCAGAGTTGCTACCAGATTTGCATCACCTTTCATGGCCTTCTCCCATGGCGAAATGTATGTCTTCACATGAATCTTAGTTGCGTCATCACTTCCACCTCCTGTGAAGAAGATCCACTACTAGAGCATTTGACACCCTCAACTAGAGTTAGTAGTTTGGACAGAGCCAGGAGAGCTGTTTCCAACCTTTCCTGAGAGTTGTATCTATCTCACTGTCTGCAAGAAAGCTACGAAGCCTACTTCCCAAAATGTTGAACTATTCCTATCAAGAGAAACTTAACACCAGGTTGAAAAGCAGCCCTCTTTTGTTGAAAGTTTCAATCCTGTTTCACCTCTGAAATGTGGTCTGTTGGCACCTATAACCACACCCATCAGTACAGCCAGGTGAGAAGATAAACCACTGGAGGTCAGCAAAGACAAGATTTTCAGGGGGTGTTAAGTTACTCTTTAAGATGGCATTTTACTGTACAGTTATAAGAAGAATGATTATTCTACTAATACTTAAGTCCATCTTCCTGGATTAGAGGTGTAATTATTCAATTACATCTTTATGTGTACATTCATATATATTTGTGTGTTGATTTATTTACCACCACCCATTCATTTATTGTGAATGATAAAGTTAAAAATATTGTGTTTATCAGTCAAGAAAAATCAAGTACATCTCAGTAGCTATGTACTTTTTTGTGAATGCATATTTAAAACCATGAAACACCATCCTCTTAAAATTGCCAAACAAATGATACCAACCCTTTAGTGGAGACCACTCACTAGCTCCTTCGCCACCTTTCCCATGATCACCCCCAACCAGTTCTCCTGCACCTCCTGCACCTCCTGCTCCTCCTGCTCCTCCTGCTCCTCCTGCTCTTGCTCCTTTGCTTCCAGGCTTTGGAGGAGGCACAGGGGCCCCTCCTCCGGGAAGTATCCCTCCGAAATGCAGCTGTTTGCTAACAAAATGCCCACCAACATTTATCATGTCTCCTCCCACTTGACCTCCCAGAGAGGGAACAAACTTCTGGAGGTTGTCCTGAAAGAAATATGATCAATATAACCAGCCATATGCTACACAGCACGTTTATTTGTAGTTGCTGAATAATCGTGTTTCAACTTCTTGAAGGTATACCTGACAAGCATTACTTGAAGGTATACCTGACAAGCATTACTAAGCACAATGAGTGTGTATTGGAGGCCGTTATCTTCTTCCAGACAATTAAAATTTGTGATTTCTTGTTTTTGAAATTACAGAGAAGTGATTGGATTTTTTCCATGAGCTCCGCTCTCACCATAGACTCACTGCTGAAGATGTCAGGATTGTTCTCGTAGATGAACCTCTCCACTCTCTTCTGCCTCATCTTGAACATCTTGGAGCCACGGTTGTTCTGCAGGGAAAGCTCCTCCAGCATGATGTCTTTGGGAGTCCTGATTTTTGTTCCCAGGTCGAACTCAGATGCCTCTGGCTCTGACTCATATTCTAGGTAAGGGACATTTAAACAAAGGAGCATTATATTTAGAAATGTCAGAGTAGTGACATGCCAAAGAGGAATACGTGATAAAAATAAAAAAATTTAATTAAGATAAAAATTACACAAAACTTAAGTAATCAATCTTGTGTGATAGTGGGTGTTATACTGACATTATTATAGCCACAGCCTTTAAAATAGCAGATGTTTAAATGTTTGCTTGATTAATGACGCCTACAATAGTTCCTCCTCTTCTCTCTCTGCATTTATGTGCATGCATTCCTCCCAAGATAATGTGACTAAAGTTTTGACTTCCCACTTAAAAATAAACAGCATCCTGATTGATCAAAATACCTTAATTATTTTAGCTAAACAAAGTCAACCCAGAATCATATATATTTAGTTATGTTAATTAGTTTTGCTGTTGTTTTTTGTTATTTTTTATGCTAATTTGTACTGCACCCCATCTATCCTGTAAGATTAGTACTCAGACCAGTACCTATCATCCATCTATTTATGTATTCTGTCTTTATATGAAAGAGCTGTACAGAGCATATGGAAATTTGGTTTCATATTCATGTGATTTCACGCCAGCCTTACCATCCTGAGTGATATGTGATAGGTCTGTTATGATCTTGGTGAGCCTTTTCCGCTTGTTTAAGTGGGCAGGTGTTCCTAGAGGCATGACTGGAGGATTAGGAAAGAACGTGGTGTTAGCAGGAATGACATGGGGTTAGAAACATACAAAAAAAAACAACTCTAAGTTGAAACTAAACATGTGCTCGAACATATTCAGATGGAAGCAATGTCAGTGGACCTTTTTCTATCAAGAGAAAAAAATGTAATGTAAATGTAATGTCAAAGCTTCTCCAGAATTTGACATTCTTTATATTAAATTGATCAATAACATTGTTTTATTTCAGAAAAGTTTGTATGAAATAAAGTAAAATATATTTCATATAACATTGTTCCTTTTCAAAAGAATGAATTGAAAGTAATATGACTAAATCTGCATAGCTGCAGAGACTAAGGGTGAAATGCACTGAACTGAGTGTTTTTCCTTCAGTTTTAAGATACATTTCACACAATTGCGACCATCTCCAACCATTGCACCAACTTATCAACATCACCATCAACACCTGCCACACCAACAAACCCTGAATGTGAAACCACAGGACCTGATTGTATCAGACAGACAGAGAGTATAGGCTCTTCTCATTTTTCAAGTTCATTGGGGATGTCAGTGCCCTCAGATTCCACACATTCCCCAGTGAAACAGATGTCTGCTCCAAAGAAAACATATAGCTACATGTGTGTCTCCGTTCTGTTTGTGGACATAGGATCTCTACACAGACTGGTGAAGATAAACAAATGCTGGTTCTGGCACTAACTAGTGGCCAATGCATTCTAGTGCTATTCTACTGCAGAAAAAATGAAGACCTCGGGATTGTAATATAGCATCTGATTGTATTTCCCAATCTGCAGCCTGCATGGGAATGTTTAGGTGGGGAAAGTGGGAGTAATACTTTGTCTCATCTGTCGAGATATGACATGCATATGATCATTAACAACCAAATTTCCTACAACCTGTTGTGCATCCCTAGTGTGAGATATGTATTTTCTTACTTTATCTTATGTCTTTATTTTACACAGTTTTTTTGTCTTCCTATGCGCATATCAGCACCTTCTGCTCTTAACCACTTCTTTAAGGCTCAGGCAAGTGGCAAAACATCACATCACATCTACAGGCTGTAACTCAACCCTCTGCAGCTATTTTTAAAAGCCATTTCTAGCCAAGACATTTTAGCGACGTGTAATGGCGTCATTCGACTATCAAATGGGCTTGACACAACTTTAATGGCCACAATGCACACCTCCAGAAAACCATTAAAAGTGTATGTTTGAACCTTTTTTAAAACACGAGTAAATCTGGAGTAGTTGTTAACGAAGAGGGTTTTGAACACCCTTTTAATTCCCTACAAGATCAGGGACCCCTTGCTCTCAGATTTACCACCCCCCTGTCAGGATTTGGTAACACCATATAAAATCTCTGCAACGCCTACTGAAAGGGGTGGTCAGCACATTCACTCATTCCTTTGGTCATTTTAAGACATATCAAGAACATCTGAAAGCAGCAAGGCAAAAAGCATTCTCATCAAAAGCAAAGTAATGATTTGGTTTACTGAGTTTTTGAGGTCTTCTTCTGTTATCTTTTCCCCGAGATCAGCTGCACAACCCACAGAAATTATGACCAGGAACATGTTGCACATCTTTATTTCCTCTCTCAATTTTTGTAGTAGTCACACTTTAAATCCAAGCTGTTGGTTGATTAGTAGGACAAAGCATACCGATGGGATGCAGATCCACTCACCGGGTTTTTGTTGTAATCCTGGGAGGAGAGACAGACCTATAAATACCAAACAGAGAAGAGGAGACCCAAGGCTCAATGCTGGTGATCTCGATAGCAAGTTTACAAATCCCTCAGTGTCTCTGACCCTACGTATGGCTGGACCCAGGTCCCGGGAAGTGCAAAACCCAACCTACACTCAGATGGCAGATCTTCCAGAGGGTTGGGGTTGTGGGTGGCAGCAGTGTTGGTGTCAAGACAGGAGGAGGAGGAGGTTGAGGTTAGGAGTATGAATAGGGATGGGGGGGGGGGGGGGTTAAAGCAGAGGGGAGAAGACTCTGTTGGCCAACTGAAAGTGCTGATGGGGATATTAAGGGAACAAAATCATTCTCACAGATGGTTCAGAAGCCTATATTTAGTAGCAACGAAAGAGGGGAACAGAATATAGTTATAAGATAACCTCAAAGGACTCTTGGGGTGTGTTTGGGGGACACAGAGCGATGAGAGAGAGGGAGAGTGGAGTATGTACTAGTGCACAGTGCAGGTTTAAGGTTAAGCATATGTCACTTTGTGTTTCAAAGTGAGGGTTAGCTCCTTTACTTCCTAAATTACTCTAACCTGACACTAGATTGTCACATTTTCAGTTTCTGTGAGGCATCATGTAGCTTGACATGATGGACATGTGGAGACAGAGCTGTCAGATACTCTAGCAATGTTTGTATGTCAAAGCATGCAATGACAGATAACGCATCTCTTGTGTAGTATCCTTTGTGATTGTGTTTATTTTAAGAGCAAACCAAGAAAATGATTATAAAAAATGATTTAAGATTTTTTTTAATTAAGTTATTAAAAAAGATTTTATCTGAGATCCAGGGTGGTAGCCAGGATTTAAAAATACTGAAATACTTAGTCCAAAGTACCTCTGTGCCACTAGTCACTATGTACTGTTTGCGTTTACACTGTGATATGTGTACAATTATTGTTTTATGATAATTACTAAACAAACAAACAATGTAAATACAGATTTTGACTAGCCACCAAAAAACGTCAGCATATTTTTTTTAAACATGATGGTCTAATTGTTGTTTCAAAGACTTAATGCCAATTGAGTGAAACTCTGATGGAAAAATACCCCAACGCGAACCCTAAATCCTTTTATTGTATTTATTTAAAAGTCATCATGTGTTACTTCTTAGAAACTTATGGAGGACATGTCATCACTGTCCTTAATGGTAGCAGTTTTTTCTACCACATTAAAGTAATTGCAGAACCACTTATATTTTTATTAGAGGTTAATAAAAATAAATTAAAAATTATGATCAGAAAAGTATGTCTTACTGTATACTGCTGAAATGTCATAGCGTAAGGTTTTGTACATTTATTTATCATTAATTATTATAGTAATTCTGCTAACCTATTGTAATGCAGACTAAATAGATCTCAAGATATAGAATAAAGTATTTGTTTGGTCAAAAAGATTTAATATAGTTTTATTAACTATATTGTGCATGAATGATATTGCATACTCATATTTTTGAGGAACACGATTGTCAAACATGCATGCAATATAATCCTGAGGAAGAGCTTTCTCTGAAAGTTGGTCTAATTAGTGCTGGTCTTGTGCTCTGGAGGAGACAATAAAAATAGAACATTTTCGTGTTCATGTTTTCAGTCATGCTTCTGACCACATGATGTCTTTAAAAAAGTAAAGAGACAATCAATCCTTTATTGTCTGGGGCCCTGTTGGCTCTGGAGTAACATGCTTGATATGGTACTGTCCATGTCCTCCCTCAAATCACTTATTTGATCTGGCTGATTTTTATTTGTGCATTTATTATGGTTTTGTACTTCCCTCTATTGAGAAAATTCTCAGTAGCTGCTTTTGCTCACATTGTGTTTTAATCAAATCATCCTGTTTCTATATTGTTTTTGTTTTTTTCGTTATATTTTTGTTAAGGAACTACAAATGAGTGCAACCAAATAATAGGTTTCATAGAAAGAGGGAGATATTAAGGGTCGATGCAGCTTTTTTACTGTAGTTCTATTTCTGTTACTAGAAATTATTATATATTATTGTTATTGTATTATTGTATACAAAAGTGCTATGAAGACTACACACTGTATATGAGTGTTCAATAAATCTTGAAATAGGAGTTTTTCAGAAGCGGAGAAGCCAGTTAAATTTTTATATTTGATCTTTTTTAAGCAGTTAAATTAAGAATAAATACTCTTAATTACAGCAGTCTCCTGGCAAAATGTTATTTTCTCTATAAATAGCCTCCTGTTTGGATATTAACGGCCCTATATATAGGCACCCTGTGAGTGTGGGGGTTGGCAACAAAATGCCCTTCTTATTGCAGAGTCCAACACAGACTTCACAGCACTGGAAAAGGATCATGTAGACAAGAAAATACCCCATAAGATTTCCAGGTGTCGCCCCTATGCCCCTTCAAGGTGTAACTCAGGATATCAGGACATCCCGGATGGACTGATTTTACTACTTTAGGCATTTCAGCCAGAAAATAGTTAACTTAACTTCCCAGCAGAAATGGCACAGTTTATGTACCGTATGTGCACACATTTCTGCTTGATTGGATGGTTCTTAAGTGTGGATCTTTAAGTAACTATGTGTATTTGCCAGACATCATGTAGCCCTAGTGGTTACCCAAAGGTTGTGATTTTTCTACTTTTTTAAGTGCTTTGCTGCTGCTGTTATGTAGATACATCTCTAATAAGTGAAAAAGTAAACATTTGTTGTTTTACTAATGATTACTTAGCCTCTGTTAGATGCTGTGATTTTTCAATTAGGGAGGGTCTCTTTAACTACCATCCGACATCCCTGTGTCCTGTGACACTACTAAATTGCATCCTGAAATTGCATTTTTTCTCTGCAGTCAGCTCACCTAAAGTAAAATATGTGTTGGTGCTGTGATGTATATCTGATTTGATGAAAGGATGAATGTATTCTGGGGTTAGAACTGCCTGGATTTCAAAAACTCAATTTATAAACAAAGGTGACTGAAGAATCTGACTTTCATTACACTCTGCTCTGTGCTAGAGTATTCAGTTTTTTTTAACAAATTCACCTCTCTCTTTCTCTCTCTCTCTCTCCCCTCCCTCTTTAAAAAATATCTTTCAACCTGGCCACCTCTAGTGGCAAAGTCTAGACCTGCTCACATGCATGCGTATTGTGGTTTTCTACTGTCAGCTTGTTGTAATGTTCTTCCTCTGGTCTTATCCTTATCGTTCTGTCAATTAAATAATGTGAAGATTGTGGAAATAAATATATATACACACTACAGGCTGTGAGATATATATATATACAGTATATATCCATCCATCCATCCATCATCAACCGCTTATCCTGTGTACAATCCATCTCAGATATATATATATATATACACACTTTATGGAGCTGGGACAGAATAGGCTTTAAAAAGCTTGGCTTAACTAGCAAACTTGCTTTATGAAACAACCCTCAGAATTGAAAAAATTCAGGATTTGTCTTGGAACTTGTTTGTAACATTGTAATTAATCTTAAGTCAAATGTCTATCAGCTAAAACTGAGTATTATATATTCACTTGAGGTTATGAAGGCCATGCTGTGATAAAAATGAACGCAAAATAATCTCAAATACTGAGAATGTGTATGTGTGATTTTCCTTCGGTAAAAACAGGCTCTAAAGCATTTTTACACTTTGAGTGTATAGTTAAACATATTTTTATTAAAGCAATTTACAGTTATTGCACTGTTCAATTATTAATATTATCATTTAATGCATGCGTGTAAAAGTGCAGGATCACACAATCAGCAACAGGGGGCAGTGTATAATCAGACATGCCAGACAACAGGAGACTTTTCAAATTTAATTTTATTCAACTAAAAATGGCTTGTATCTCAGCATAAACGTCTACTCAGCAATAATTACAAACATTTTCACACTGATTATTTTATCCAACTACATTCAGAAACATGTATTTATCATTTTTTTCCACCTCAACGTAATTAAATCCATACTCTAGATTTTTCACAGACATAATATTATTAAAACTAGAAAAAGCTTTAAGAGAAATTGCATTTTAAAAATGGTAATAAAAAAAATAACAAAACTATCTCCCCACACAACTGAAAACAACATATTCATTTCTTTGTTTCTTACTTGTTTCCATTTCCTTAGTCTCTCAATGTATTTAGCCATTAAATGTGTTTATTTTTACATTTTAATAGCAACCATTGTTAATGGAAAGACACCAGCTAAACGTCTGTGCTTCTTTACATCAGCTTCTTTAGCTTTACCAACAAAATTCAAGTACCAAACTTTCCTGGCCATCCTCCTTTAACCCTTTCAACTACAGGCTGTGAGATTTCAGAAGTCCCAATGTTTTGCCATGTTGCCACATCTGTCCATAACCCTTTATGTGAAATGATGGTCCATGCCCCATTCAGTAACTGGCTTAACTATATACTGCCTTTTCCCCCTCTCCACAGCCATTTTCATTTCTTGAACCATTTTATAAATAAAACTGCCTCTCAGTCAGTCAACTTCCCCTTGCATCACTTCAGATTAAATCACAATTAAACAAAACAAAATACACGTTCCTTCATCTGTGTTATTTGTTTAATAAAAGTTAAGAATTTACATATATCTGCGAAGATTACACTCATACTAAGGAGGCTCTGGTGTGCCTAATGTAAGCTATAATGTCCAGTGACAAGTGTACATTCAGTGACAGCCCCGGCACTTGTTAAATGTGATCCATGCTAAAAAGATAGCAACTTCTCTCTGGCTATAGTGAGCAGAGGTATTTGGCACAAGGCGGTTAAAACATTTTACATTTTCAACAGGTCATGCATAATTAACACCCCTGGACAAGAAGTCATCATTGGTTTCTTCTGGATAATGCTAGACAGAGTGGGTAAAAAACATTTGTGCACATTAGTTAATGGGACATGTACTGAATAACAGAATTACATGTTCAAAGATAAAAGTCAGCTATTTTTGCTTTATGATGCTCCACCTGTCAACATACGATAACAAACATCTTCAGTGATTTAATGCTATGGTCAGAACCACAACAATTCATTTTCGACATCTTTCAGACATTTCAAGTTTCAAAGAATATTCAGTACAGACTCTGTTTAGATGGTATTTCTGCTAAATTAGTAGAAAGAGATCTCCAGAAGCCTTACACAAACCTCCCCCAGGACAGGCATACGATGGACTATACAGCATCCAGTATGTGCTAGTATAGTCTATACTATACTTTATTATTGTCACTCAGATACAGTGTTGGCAGCAAAATAAATGTGATAATCAGCATTTGAATAGAAGTAGATGTTTATGATCAATGACCATTATTCAAGTTCCTACATATTTCAAAAACTTGACTGCTATCTGGATTTTAATTTTATATTGAATCACTTCATCACCTCATGTTTTGTCATGTTATGTCAATTAATTAGAAAATTGCCCATTACAATTTATATAAGGTGATATCTTCAAAATGTTTGATTTGTTTGACCAACCACCCAAAACTAATCAATTGTAAATTGAAAGATATTCAATTTGCAATGAGGTAAGAAGAGCAAAGCAGAATATGGTCACATTTGTGACACTGGAACCAATGCAGATTCACCATTTTTGCTTGACTTAAATAATGAACCAATTAACAAAACTGTTGCCGATTAGTTTTCTGTCAGTGATCAACTAGTCATTTCAGCACTAAATAAATATTACATAAAGATGTCCAGGTGTGGTAGTGACTTTACTGCTGTTCACATTGCCCCAGGTCTCCAGACATGGGGCTGGACGCCTCCCTTGGTTGCAACAAAACGTGGTTTGGGAGCCTGAACTTGGTTGGACTTGAGCGGGGGCAAAGAGGCAAGGATACTGAGCTCAGGAGCACTCTGGAACTGCTTGGCTCTCTGGAGCCCAGTGGTGTATGATACTGGAGTGTAAGGTGTAGGGACTGCAGGGGGCAAAGGGTTTGGAATAGGGGTGGCAGAGAATTTTGGGAGGCTGGGTGGTCCAGCTGGTTGAGAGGGAAGTGAAGCAGTGGTTGGGGCACTAACTGGTGCTGGTGTAAAGAAAGGGCCTGGGGTTAGAGTAAAAGGAGCAGGAGGTGGGGATATCATGCCAGAATGAGTCAAGCGCTCTCCGAGGGTAGTGGCTGAGCGGGGTGCAATGACTTTGGGAGCCAGTGTGGGAGCTGACATGGGTGTGGGTGTGGAGAATCGCTTGACCTCGAAGACACGGGCTGTTTTGAGGGGGATCTGCTTAGGTGAGGTTAATGAGCTGCCCACCATTGTTGTTGAGTAGTCACCCTGCTGCTGCCTCTGAGCCTGGTAAGAAGGCATGACTAATAGGTTAGTAGCACTGCCCCCATAGTTGAACATGGCAGAATTAAGCTGGTAGGGCTGCCTTCTCATGAATTCCAAAGCCTTGATGCCCTCTCGTTGGGAGCCTCCTTTACCCCTGCTCTCTGGTTTGCTACCATCCCTCTGAGGCCCCGTAGGGATAGAGGGGGCCAGGAGTGGGTTGTACCCAATGGGTGGAGGGGCACGGACATTTGGGGAGTATTTCCACGAAGATGGGGAGGAAGGATTGGGGGAGGAGTCAAGGGTTTGGGCTACACTGTGTGAGGGCACCTGCTGGTAAGGGGTCTCGGGTGGAGTGTCCACTACATACATACCCATGCGACTCTGCCTGCGGGCAAACAGCTGGGCCCCCTTTCCGCCAGCTTGAAGAAACTGTGGGGCTTCGTGGATGACCCTAGGCTTGGGTGCCACTGGAGGAGGTGCCCTCCCCATGCCAACCTCACCACTCCTCTCCTCCTCTGCGCCATCATATATAGTCTCAGACAGTGGTTGTCCATGTGAGTGTCTGGTGGACCTGTCATCAAGGTTCTGCACCATAGACAATAGATCAGGATTGGGGGATTTCTTTGTGACATCTGGCACATTGAACATAGGTTTGGGTTTGCCACTACGACGTCGAGCCTCAAGTAAGATTCCTGTGCGACCTGTTGGACCAGGAATAGGGGTTGGAGCTACAGCCTCTGGCTGGGAGACCACTGACACTGTAGCTACAGGTGCCATGGAAAATTGAGGTGGGGGTGGCTGAGGACCTGGTACTTGAAGTGGAGGCAATGGGGCAACTGGGTCAGCTGAACCAGGAATTTGAGATACAGGAAGAACTGGGGCTGGAGCCATTGGTGCTTGTGGAGCAAGGGGCATTGAAGGCATAGATACTGGGGGCACAGTCGAGAATGCAGCCTGATGAAGAGTAGTTACTGGTGGTGATGACTGCATTTTCTCTACAGAAGTACAGATGGCTGGAGGGTGAAGGGTAACAGGAGCTGCTGGTGTTGGTGCAAAGGGACGTTGAGGTACACAGAATGGTGGAGACAGAGGACCAGGGAGTAGCTGTGATGTTACTGATGTAGCATTAATGCCCAGGTCAGAGGCAGTGGAGAATGGTGGTGGCACAACAGCTGCTGAGGCAGGACGCTGGGCCGTCTTTGTAACAGGTGGTCGGAACGTTACAGGGGCAGTTGCAGCTCGAATGCTGATAAAGCCAGGAGTGAAAGGACGGGCCGTTCTGTTGAGAACATTACTAGCAGGTAGTTCTGGTAATGGTGTTTCAGCTGGTGGTGCAGGTCTGGTCAGAATAGTTGCTGAGACAGTGGCTGGTTTGGGTCCAACAGGTGGAGGTGACATCACAATGCTAGCTGTACTAACTGCAGAGTAGGATAAGTCACAGTTAGACATTACATGGGCTGCAACTGGACCTGGAGCCTCAGACAGCTCTTGCTGTATAGCTGTAGGGCCAGTTGATATCATCTGCTGAGGCTGAAGATTTGGTTGCATATGTGGATGCATTTCTGGATGCAAGTAATGCATCTGAGCCTGCTCCTGGACTTGAGACTGTGGAGGAGGCTGAGGTTGTTCCGCCTCTACCTTCTTTGCATGCTCAGCAACCCTCTTTCTCTGCTGCTCAAACAACTGGGCACCCTTGCCCGCAGTGTCACTCAACCCAGGACTTGGGGCATCCTCTGTCCCATCACCACGACCTTCAATCCCTGCAGTTGCCCTTTTCTCCAGCATATCCAAGTATTCACTATCCCATGTTGGGTCAGGAACTGCTGAGAAGCCATCATCATCAAACTCTGATTCGCTGCCAGGAAATACCCCATCCTCCTCTTGTGAGTCCCGACACCTATCCTCATCCACACTACCAAAGCTGGTGAGGGTGTACTTCTTGGAGCGCTGCCGTCGCTTCTTGAACATCAGCACCCCCTTGGAGTGAGGGTTGGGAGCATCAGTCAGTAGGGATGCAATTGTTCGACACTTGCTTTTAGCTTCCTTAACTTGCTTGTCTTGCGGTGTATCCCCTCGGTTCAGTTCTGCAGGGTATGAAAGCCATAGCTATTAGGAATCGTTGCACAGTAGCATAACATGTAAGTACTGCAGTAAGAAGAAGAAGAAGTTTGAATTAACAGATTTAACCTTTAAACCAAGAACAAACTTTTGCATGAGCATCTAAACTTGTCCTGGGTAATGGCCTTGAACAGGCACCCATCTCTTAACTTGCCACAGGAGCACTTCCGGTAAAAAATTCCAGGCAAGCCTTCAGCTTCTCACATTAGCTGGGGTGAAGGATACATTTGCACATTATTAGTCTTATGTACTCTGACATCTAACTTGACTAAAAATATTTGCAAGCTAGTGGAAAGTTGTATGATGTAGGTGACTGGAAGGAGAACTTCAAAGGGCAGCCACAACATATCCTTTAACTTGTTATGGTATTAAGCAGATTATCATAGGCAACCCAATTCTGTTACCCTAATATACACTGCCACGTGAAGGGAGTTAATTTGTCTAGCACAAGGTTCCTAAGTAGGACATTAGAATGTTAAACTTACACTGAGTGATGGCAAGGGGGATTTACAAGAGTAAATTTATTAACTTCTTAAAAGATTCCATTGACTTCAAATAGCAAGCTCTGTCCTTTTCCAGGGCTTATTATGGATGATAGACAGGATGAGAAGTTGTAGGAAACAATGCTTGGTCAGTGTCAGTACTCTGTATTTGTTGAATCACTGTATTGTTGCAATTTTTTACCCTTCCCTAACTAGAAGTTATACATTATGAAATATGGTAAACAAAGTGAAACATCAGTTTGCTTTTGTGACATTTTAGATACGAAAACGATTTTTGCAAGTTAAGGTGACTGTTCCATGTTTCTTTTTATAACTGTGTCATAGTATCATCCAGTTTAATGGACGCACAACTCTCTATGTTGTTGCACTATACACAAGCATAAAAACATATTTGTCATTGTGGTAAGTCCTATGCAAAACATTTCATGCTTGTGCTCTTTTCATAAAGTTGATAAAATAGCAACATGAAAGGACAGCAAGAGAAACAGAAAGAAGAGATGGCAAGAGGTGCAGGAAAAAGGGGAGTGTCCCTGCTTTGCTACTTGATACGTAAAAGCAGCTGTAGATACTTTTCACTGCTCCCAGACAGATCACTGGGGTTTTTACACACATACCTGGAGATAAATATAGTAAACTGTACCGGCATGCTCTGTTTAACAGAATTATCTTAGGTTGACACCACCCCACCCACACTGAATTACTAACCTTAAAGAATACTTATGGATGTTTGGTTAGTTATAGTGGTCAGATTAAATGACGGGGGCATTGCATCAAGATTAAGACCGTTCTCAAACACTATTCCTTTTGGGACTATAATAAATGTTGGTATGAATTCATATTTTCAGATATCATTGGGCATGAAAAGGTATTAAACTGCTTTAAAACTTGGCTCTCCCTATCTGTAGTATGAATATTATAAATACTTTAAAGTTTGAACTGCTTAATGGCTGCTTTATACCAGTGTTAATGGAGGCTTTGTTTATAGATGAAATGTTGTGAACACAGAAGGTAGTGTAGATAGTAGCAGTATTGTCAGATGGTTGTTCAATCAAGGTGTGGTGAGTTACTATTGAACCTTCTGCAAATATCTTTCTCTACAGGAGGTTAAGGGGCATATTTGTCTTGAGCTTCATCAAAAGCATGTACTGGACATACCATCTCTGCCTAGAAAAGTAAAGCTATACTTTTACGATGACAACTTCCTGTGAATGGGAACAGAGGAGATCAGATGATCTTCACTTCAGTGATGTATTTCTGTGCTGCAAAGTAGATAGCACTTACAATTACATTTATGGGTGGTGATGGAGCAGTGTATAAGGTACGTGCCTTTGGTGTGAGAGACCCGGGTTCAAGTCCCTACTGTGACACATCCACCAATGTGTCCCTGAACAAGACACTTAATAGCAATTGTAAGTCGCTTTGGATAAAAGTGTCAGCTAAATGACTAAATTTAATGTACAATATTAATGACATAAGCATACAAAGAACAAAAGCTCCAAATATGAACAATCTGTATATGCTACAAAATAGTGTAATGATTTATATTCAACTGTTTGTAGAGTTTGAAAAGGTTTTGTGACTCTTGAACCAACCAGTGACCTTTATGAGGAATGTGTACGTAAGTGTAGAGAACCTATGTGAAACACAGCTCCCTGTAATTGTTCTTCCTCAGCTGTACTTACTGGCTTGCTTGGCCTTTTCCATGTAGGTTGTAGTAAGCTCCTCGTCGATAGGTTTATTCACAGGACCCACCATTGGCACCAGCTGGCTGCGGGAGCCCAGCATTAGGGCCTCCTTTGCCCTCTCAGGGGATACCAGTGGCACGTTGGCTGGCTCTAGAAAGCCACTATCCTCCTCTTGCCCCCCATCCCGTGGCCCCTGGTCATCTGCTGAGGAGATGATGGAGGAGGTCTCAGTGGATGTCTGGGAGGACCACATTCCTGGACCAGGAGGCTGGTAAATCACCTCCTTCCGTGCCACCCCTGGTAGCCCCCCTCCTCCATTTCCATCTCCCCCATGTCCATCCAGCATACTGGGGTAAACATGTGCATCTGGAGCGCTGTCATAGCCACTCATCTCTGATGTCTCCCCGCCCTCAGGGGAGGTTCGTCCTGTTGGTTTTCCCGGGATCGAGTTGCTGGGACTGCGGCGTTTCTGCCGCCGCTGCCTCTCATAGCCTGCCACGTCTGCATCACTGTCAGTCTCGCCGTAGTAAGCCTCACTACCAGGTGGAGACGTCAAGCCACTGGTTATAGAGGAGCGGCTACGGTGGACCTCACGGACAGGTGCATGGTGGTGGTTGGTGGGTGACATGGCACGCAATGCAGCTCGGTACTCTTTGTCTATACGGGGAGATGGGGCACGGGTCACAAGCACCACGGACTGAAAACCAGCAGGCACCCTACAAACAAGTAGAGGGTTTAAAATACTGATGGGCCAAATGAAGGCCCTTGGATACGGTATAACATTAGAATGTAATTTTCTAAATCTTGAAAAAGTAGAATCTTAGCACAAGCAGCAGAAACATTTGTGAGTCCTATTATTGATTTATTTTGGTAAAGTAATACTGTAGTATCCAACACGCATGTTTTGTGTTTAGACTTGGGTCTTTGACTTGTACATAATATGATATTTTTCTTGATCTATTACAATGGGTTGATCATGGTTTATCACTAATAATAGAGTATAATTATTTGGTTTCTCTGACCTTTTGACCCGTATGTGTAATATCCCAGGGGAACTGTCAATGAGTTCCATGGCCTGAGCATGGGATAGCATTCCACATGGCTGTTCGTTGATGGACACCAGCTCATCAGCTTCCCTCAGCCCAGCCCTGCATGCCTTGCTACGTTTACGCACCTGCACAAGCAAAGGAAGGAAAAAATTTAAAACTGACATAGACGACAAAATATATTTTCAGGATAAAACCGATCTGTTTTGAAGTCTTTTTAAACAAGTCCAAAACAGCTCAAGTCTCTCATATATCTCAAGGGAACATCTCAAGTCAAGTGTCAAGACCTTTCAGGTTAAGCCCAAGAGATCTAAATCCAAGTCTTTCACATCTGAATGCTGACAATTAAATGAAAGGGCATATGTAAATTTCTGTTCTTGCTGTTAAAAGTGTTCTGCCAAGACCAAATCCCTTCAATGCACAAGCCTAATAATTAAATATTCAGTGTGTGCAGCTATGCAAGGCCTGCTCAGTCCCGTTGTATTTATAGTTGTTGTTCCAGGATTGTATCATATCAAACATGACTTTTAACTTAAGGACAAGTCTCAGGTCTGTGGCTTTGGTTTGAAGAGATGTTATGTACAGTAGATACTTAAAATAGGATTTCAAGACTTTGAGACTGGTACAAACATCATCACCATTTTTCTGTCTTTTTTCCATGCTATTTTATCATTTCCCTTAGAATTGTGTGTTTGGCAGTTGTAACTGCAGGGACAGAAAAAAGACCTGATAGAGGTATGCTGCTGTCTTGTCTTGGTTTGTGATAGTGACTGACAGAGGGCAGACTTTGTCCTGACAGCTCGATCTTGCTATGGACATATGCCACATATTGCCGCTTGAGTGGGACACTCAAACACACTTTAACAGTGAAATGCCAGCCAGCAGCCATCTTCATTTGGTGCTTTGCTATTTGTGCCCAAGGTCTGTCAAGACCATGGCATTATGCCCACCCTAAATTGCCTCAGGTCTATGCAAGCCATCTACATAGCCCATAATAAATTCAAACCAGATTTTCAAAATTCAAAGACAATAACTGCAGTGTTTATTGCACTTTTTGAGAGCACTTCCATGTATTCAATTCATATTATATGTTGGATTCAGAGATAAAGAAGCATTGCTTTGGTTGACCTAATTAGTTGTCTTTCCAGCTATTCTGGTTTGCCTGTAATTAAATCCCACATCCCCATTTAGTCTTTGTGCCCTGCGCCTGCTTGTGGTACAGGATGTCAGCTATTCATTTAGTCAGTCACCTTTTGGTTACAAGTCATAACAGTTATAATACCCTTAGATGCTTGGACACACACACCACATGGACAGATACAAAAATACACATAAACTCCTGAAAATAAACACACAAACACGTGCTTGCAGGCCCACAGGCACAAACCCAGCGCTGACACACCAGCTCTTTCAGTGAATCCCCAAACTGCTCCACCTGTTATGACACTATAGTATCAGACCTGACAATATAACGCCTTCCTGCTCTCAGGGGTGAAGGAGCATGCTGTTTTGGATAGTTGGACAGAAACAGCTGTCGTCCATCGCCATAAAGGTGATTTGGTGTCCTGTGTCTCTGTGTACATACTACCACATTTTGCATAAGTCAACTACATGTAGGATTACCTTTTTAAAGAGCAAACATTACGACACTAAATACCGTCTATAAGAGGTGGTTGTTTTATGAATATGGTGATTGTCTCAGAGGTATAGTCTAGAGGTGCATGACACATTTTATTTTTGTTTCTGAAACAAAAATTTGCTTCTTAGCCAGTAAATATTCTCTTTTGTCTGGAAAATGGGAATCTTTGTGAGACATGTTTTGCCTGAGGTCTGTAGGCTGAAACATTTATTTTACCCAATGAAAATTGTTGGACCAATATAATTACCTACCATAATCATTATAAACTCCATATTATACAGGTTTTTTTAATTCTAGACAAAGTTTTTAAAGATCATAATGTTGGCAGGCTTAATTGTTTGGAAATTGTGCACAAAATCATGAACTGGACATCATAAAACTTGACTGAACTGCTGGAACAAGCAGACAGAGAATATTATCTATGTGATATTGTCACAATGTGGAAAAAAAGTTAATAATACTAAAAACTTTTTAAAGGTACTTTAAATTAAGATTTAATTGAAAATCAGGGCTTAGAGGTTGACCAAAGCAAGCTGGTTTCTCCCTGCTGGTTTTCACAGCTCGTGTGGTGCCTGAACAAGAACTTTCCATGTGAACCTACACAATAAAGTTACTGTACTTACTGAGTAGCGCATGTATAAAAATAGTATATGAGCTTAATTTTTGAGTACTGAGCTGAAACACACACCTTGGCTGACCCTGTGACCCACTGCTTCTCAACCAAAAATAGCCACCTGGAAAAGTTGTTCTGCTCAGTCAACAATTATTGAAAGTGTGTGTTTGTGTGGTGTGTGTACACTTATACATGCATTATGTGTGTGCAGGAGTACTAAAACCTGAACTATCACATCCAGAAATATGATCTCTCTATATAAACATTTCATAGAAGAGAAAGTTGGCCCAAGTCTCTTATAACAGGATGGACAGGGTTGGTAGAGTGAAGAGCAACAATTGTGGATCGATGATTTTTAAAACACATGTCACAGGTGGTGACGACATGGAACTGACTCGATCCAAACAGCTATAGATCAATATGAAGTCTGAAACAAAAAGCTTTATCTTTCAAAGGTACCACTTATTTCAGCTTGAAAAATCGAATTAATCCTTTTATCCGGTATATATTCCCCTTTGGCTTACATGCCAAGCTTTGCTATCTCAAATGGAGATTCAAATCTAGACTGCGTCACTGGTGCCAAATGTGGGCAACAAATTCTTTTTAAGAATTTGCTCAGTGGGAGTAAAATGAGCTGAGAATTGTAAGTTGTAAGATTAAATATTTTCAATGAAAATTTTCTTTCAGTAAAATATCTAAAAAAAGAATCTATATCATTTTTGTATTTTATGTCCAATGTGGCTTGAGTCTGGCCTGACCCACAGTAATTTTAAGTACTGAACTAAATCCAGACTTTCAGACATTCATTGCTGACCTATTTAGTTACTACTGTCTAAGTAAATCTAGTAACCGGCCAGCTTAAACACGACCAAGCATGGCTAGAGTGATTTGAGTTTCTTACAGCAACGATAACATATTGGAAACATGCTAGTTTAATAGAGCAAATTAGACCATGGTGATGGGTGAATGGTAGTTTCCAAAGGCCCATGTAAGACAAATTGACAGCCAATAAAACAATGAACTTAATGTACCTAAATGTACCTGCTACATTTCACTGCTCAAAGCACTACTTAAAAACAGTGTCAGTAAGTAGAACAAAGTCCAAATTTGTCAAAAACAAACCATGAAACCAATGTAGACAAGTTCATATTGTCTGGTCAGTATCACTCCAATTTCACTAGAACTTTGAGCTTCACACAGTTTACTAAGAGAAGCAGCATTCAGTGTAAGAAGTGCAACAAGGTTTAAAGTTCACCTAATCAATCATAGATGCGCCCCTGCATGACGACCGTTCTCAAACAAGATGATGACTCATTTTTTTCAGGCCCCAAACCAACATGCATGGCAGCCAATATTCCATTGAATCAAGGCTATTGAATCTAACGCAGTTTTCTACTTTCCACTCAGCAAACCTGCTGAGCTACCCGCCTTACCTTCGCCACCTGGAGCGGTTTCTGATGCTCCAAACCTCCCTGGAGACGAAAGCCCCACGGTGCTCCACCAGACAATGTAATTATCACTTCCTCTGCAACCATTGTTCTGTTTTCTCTGTCTATATTATCTTTTCTTCTTTTTCTTAGTTATTTTCTTCTCCCCTTTGGTTTTTATATTTCTGGGGGGCCCTCAGTGTGTTGGCCCCATGGTCAGTGGTTAGGGCCCCCTCAGAGAGCTCTGACCTGCTCTTTGCCTGCCACACTGTCCGTGCACTGACTTCTCTCTGATTCCAGCTACAAGGCCAACGCTCACACCTGAACACACACACATACACACACACACACTTCTGTGTGCCCACCCACACCCAGAGTGGGCCGAACATCATAGCCAAGGGAGAGAAAGAGTGAGAAGGAGAGAGATATATGATGGGAGGGGGACATGTGTCTGCTTACACTGAGGAATGCCAGCCTCAAATGAACGAGGGGAGGGTCCAAAGCAACACTTGTCCTGTCACTCAGACCTATGTCACAGGGTTGCTGATAGCCCCTCCAAAAATAGGACACCACCACCACCTCTGCTGCTTTGCTTGCTCCTCTGCGGACCAAGGGAAAGTTAACATTCAAAATATCCAAATGGTACTGTTGAGGACATCCGTAACCTTTAGTAGGGTCACAGCCACACTCTCATGTCTCATGGCTGAGATTGGACATTCTACTCTTGATTAGTTACATTCAGATATCCCTCTATTTACACCAAGGGGTAAATAAATGATGTAGACAATGAGTAGATTGACTTTGGTGCTTGTTAGTCTTTAACTGTTGAGGCCTGCCAGCTCCTCTGGATCTGGAGACATTCTCTTCTGTCATCATAGAGCCTTTAAGATAAATACTTATGCAAGCTCCGGATGAACAGCCTGCATAGCTACAGGGAAATATGTGTTAAGTAAGAATTCCACAGTGTTGACTAAATGACAAATACTTTGAAACACATGATCTGATTACCTTTATGCCCAGGCACAGTATCTGTCACATTCTTACGCCCACGCGTGGCAGCTGTGGAGAGTCTGAACAAACATTTAGCACACATACAAACAAATGCTAGCCGTTCCGTGAGGCTGTGCTTAGGCAGAGTGGTGCTTTGGGCTAAATGCTAACAACAGCATGATGACATGCTCTCAGTGACAATGCTAACATGCTGATGTTCAGCAGGTAAACAATGTTTACCCTCTTAGTTTAGCGTGTTAGCAGGCATTTGCTAATTAGCACTAAACACAAAGTGTGAATGACACATGATGTTAGATAAAAAGTGAATTATTTACGTCAGTCATCCTCTTGGCACCATTGATGTCTGTACTAAATTTCATGGAATTCCATGTATGCATTACCAGTTTGATGGATTTTGATTTTGAAAATATTTTATAAGCACATTAAAACCCCTGGTTTACATTTTTTGATTAAATTAAATCATTAATAGTGTAAGACTGAGTTACCACTGAGTTTGTATAACACATAGTAGTGGGTCGGATACTGTTATTGGGTGAAAGAAACAAAATCCCAAATCCTTGTCTGATTGGATAAAATTAAATCAAATGAGGTCCATGCACACGTAGGACACTGATAACTGACATGATCCAGTGTGACTTTGGTTCCATCTCTCACAATGTTTTGATTTTTCTCTTCCCTTCCCATGTTCCCTCCTGATTCTCATATTTTTTTTTCAGTTTTATGTACATGTCTTAAAACTCACTCTAATATACACAAACACAATTAAACAGCACAGTCTCCACCGCACACAATCAGTGTCAGTGGACGTAAACTTGCTTTAACTATGTTGTGTTTTCCTTTGGGGCATTGACAGGCCTTTTAACCTGTTGATAGAGGCTGGATGATTCCCTTGCTAGAGCAACGCTGCCACTATCAATGCTGCAGGAGGTTACCAATGATAGCTGCTCCTTTTGGCAGCCTTGCTCTGCACCTGTCTCCAGACCTCAGGACAGCAACCAAGATCAGTCCTGGGTCAGACAAATGTCACCCTCTCTCCTGGAGATGGTATCAGATCTACCAGAACGCCACAGCTAAAGCAAATTCTCAACAACAAGGTACAACCAATCCAGTGTATATCAGATCTGTATTTACACAGGGTAACACATCGTAAACAGTCTAATCTGATTTCTGAACAAACATGTTTGTTGTGGATCAGTTGTGTTAGCCACTCCCCCTAGTGGTTAAAAGTAGGCTAGTTGTTGACCTCCTGGAGTTTTTATTTATTAATTGGTTTTATTGGTCTTATTAATAATTACACTATTTTAGCTGTATAAAAATAGCTGACATTAGATTTGACAGATTCTTCAGTACTCTCTTCTGTTTTGTTTTGAATGTTTCACTTTACACCAAGTTTTATAATATACAACAAGCCGTTTTCGGGCTTCTCTTCATTAATCTGCATGCCACTCCATGCACAGATCATATTTTAAAACATATATAAACTATTTAATGATATTAAGAACGGAGTCTGCACCAATATTTAGCTATACTGAGATATTTGGTGAAGTTTTGGTTTGGTTGCAAATTCAAAACAGTTAAAAACTCACTGGAGTTTAGCACTAATAACAAACCCTAACCCTTTGCTGTCCCAGTATTGCTGAGAGAGACTTGAAAGACCCTATAACTTTAAGCAAATAAATAATTCCTAATCACACAAATACTGCCAAAACAGGAGTGAGAAATCTAAGGATAGTGTGTGATATTGTGTAATAGCTAAACCAATACAATGTGCTGTTTGCTGTCAGTGACGGTCTCCCCATCAAACTAAACAAAGACACTGCATTGCAGAGAGCTGTGGCTTCAGTAGACAGCCCCATACAACAAGTCAGGAAGAGGTCTGTTAATTCATTCTTTCCAGGACAAAAGTTGGCTGTCTTTCGAGAAAAGTAAAAAGGTCAGTATTCATATGCAGCAGCATGGCTGAAAGATTTGCACATATGTTTTTTTATTCTCTATGCTTTCTATTGTACCGTGGCAATAAAATGAATTAAAGTGGTGCGTGAGAGTGCAGCAGAGACTTGACGATTCTTGCTTTAACACAGGAAATGGAGGAAGCTGAGCTGTTTTTTCCTGTGGACATGGGAGAACTGTTAAGTGAGGAGACAGCTTTGTCCCTCTGATGATCCCCTTGTTAATTAGTTTGTGTCTGTCTATCTCTCCTTTCAAGGTTTTCTCTTCCACTGTTTCATGTTGTGTATTTTCTCCTTTTCAACCATTTCTACTGTGGAGAGCTTTAGACAATCTTTCTGTTTTCTGTTCCCTCTCTCATATTTCTATTTAATGACTTCTCTGTTGGCCAACTTGCCTTCCTAAGAAGACTTTGACAGACAAATTTGTTGAGTTGCAGCAGGCAGAGGCCCAGTGCCCTTTAACTGGCGGATCTGTGCCAGCATGGCAGACACTGCCAACCAGCCACTGCCAGCCCTGCACGCTGGCTCTGAGGGGTGAAAATGAGACTGCCATACTAATAAGCGTCTTGTAAGCTGAGCTTTTAGAAAAGGCAGTGCACAAAGTTAACAGTGTACATTTTTAATAAAAGTAGATACAGAAAGTAAGGATGGTGACTATTCTAAACATTTGTGTAATGTTATTTGAGACTTGTTTCTTTTAAGCAGGAATATTTGAATTGTGCACATCAAAGAGGCAGTAATCAATTAAAACATTTTAAAAATTCAATTTTATTTTTATGCGTAAAAATGCATGCAACATAACATATTCAAAATGTATTTGTAGAAGAGATTCCACAGTGTAGCTTTAGAGAATATATTTTACTCTTTTAGGAAACACATTTTATATGCCCCTGGAGAATCTCACATTTTAAAATTTCAAGTTAAAAAGGATGTTTTTTCCTTTTGAAAGAGGTATAATTCTGACATTTTGAAATGTATTTTCTTCTGGGAATTAATTATATTATTTAAGATGACTTTTGTTCAGATTCCAGCCATGTGTACTATGTACTTGTGTACTGCCTCATGAGACAGTTGATAGTGCCATACATTTTACTTCCTCTCTTTCTGGGTTTATTTGGATTTGTTGTAAATTGTAATTATCTTGCTATATCTTGGATGTTATGGTCCTTTTTTGCATAGTTTAATTTACACTTGAGGTCTATTGGATTTTTAATTAAACATTTCATTTTTAAGGTGCCTTCTTTACTTTATTAAATTTCCTTTGAGGATTGCTTTGGATTACATATGTATAATTTGACGAATTTGTATGTTTATTGTAATTTCATAAACATATATTGTACTGCGTACGGTGGCCTTTGTATTTAGTCATATGTATGTATCAGACTGTAGGTACTGTGTTATCTGTAATCCCGTTTAACTACATAATAATGTATATAGTATATGGCAAGTCCTTCCTTCAGTTTCAGTTTCATGCCAACACCAGAATGTCTTTTTCTTTACTGTATGAGACGTGTGCTAGCAAAAAGTTACTGCTCTAATTACAACAACTTTAACCACTTTCCTTCACACTGACTGACCCTCTTGTTCTGTGCCTGCAGCCCAATTCCCCCTCATACGCTGAACTCCTGACCCCAGTTTGTGACAGACTGTGCTGCATCTCTCTACCAGGACTCCCGCTACCCTGGGAGAGATGAATCCTGTGTCATCTGCTTCATGACACAGAGATGGCATCGCGCCAGGTGGCCCCTAATAACCTCCATGTGCTGTCACTAGTGAGTCACACATACACCTGCAAACTCAGCACAAAACAGTGGGGTAAAAAAACATGTTATACAACATGTAACTCTATCCAAGCTGGGATTGGTCAAAGATAAAACCAGACTTATAGTTCTCTTCTCTGGTTGCTCGGCTGTTTTTGTTGTTTTGAATGTGTGTCAGTACATGATCTTTTCTGTTTTCCCCCTAGCTAGCATTCATATATGTAAGTATTGTACTCTTTCTAACAGGCTGAATTTCACGTTGTATAATCTGGAAACTAACTATTGCATAAATAAACAGTCATCCTTACTCAGTATTTATGTATTAATGTTCTCTGTGGCCCTTACACATCGTATCCTGTCTACTAATCTCATATTTTGTAGTAGTTGTCCAGTATCACCATTACATCCATAATCCACAAATGCCCTTTTGGGGTAGATGTGGTGATCTCTTCTGGAATTTAGATTCTATTATTTTGGACACTCTGCTCCGTTGAAACTCGGTGGCCATCAGATCAGACTCTGGTTTTAATGGGCAGCTTCAGGGTATGTAACTGTGTTAGTGTGACCAGGACATTCCTCAGACAACAATAAGATCACATGATACACAACAATTAACTGGAATAATTTTAGCTGGCTCTTCACATCGATGTTTGCCTGACTAACCTTGACGGTTGACATGTTGCCTCATTAAATTTGCACGAGCTTGCAATGTGTAGTGTCTCTTTTTTCCTTTGTATTCTGCTTTTGTCATTTACCCAGCCAGGGTTAGATGTGCACACTTTTCACCTTCTTCGCTTTTAATATTAAGTGTTTAAAACAAGACTATACTTTGTTTGTGAGTAGTTAAGAAAGAAAAACTTCTTTTAGCTAATTTGGCAGTTCACCCTTCAAATTGAGCCTTTAAACTGGGAGTAATTTGAAGGAATAATAATGCACCTACTTGTAAACTTCAACACAACATCCACAACCAATTGTACCAGTCATTCTGCAGTGTTGCACATTTCCATTCCAACCGTCTGAATTTACTACATATTTCTTCTTACTGATACTAATTAGTAGAATCAGCTTCTCTAGTGTTTGGATGAACAGTCTGCATGCTTGAGGGCCTCTATGGCATATTTTTGGGAAACAGGGCCCTTTATTATTCCTCTATCATCTTTGCTATCAATCTGCATGCATTATTCATTTAATCCTCACGGTGGCACTCTACACTGACTGTACCACTGCAGCACACATATATACACACACACACACGTACACAACGTACTGTAAACACATTGGGCTTGTGTAATCCCTTTAATTTTTGATGAATCAAAACAAGCACTCACTCTCCTCTTGGGAAATGTCTGACAGGATGGAACGGCCCGGCCAAGGAGGTACTGTTGGGGGGGGGGGGCACAGAGAAAAAGTTTACCCAAAGTTTATGAATTTGACATAATGCTGCCAGCATTCATTTTGCGGGTGGTGTGTTTGGTGTGATGAGGCCAGGGGGGTGGGGGACCACTCAGTGTTGTCAATCCAACACTGTAGTAAGGTGAGGAGAATAGTAATTGGATTGAGTTTCTGCTGGCTGGAAGATGATCCTCGAGTATTTCAGGAGCAGCAAAGCAAGTGTCACCTTCTGGGCAGGTGGGAGTGACAATGTTTGTGTAGCATCTAAAGCCCACATCTACCACTTCCACTGGTGTACTTTGGACCACCTAGTGAGATTACACAGTACTTAAGCAGATATTTGATATTTATCATTATGAGCATAATTCTAGCTGTGAAAGAAAGTCAGCATCTAAAACCTGGTTTGTATGCTATCTGGACTGGCCGCATTCCTATAAGTTCATAAAGGTGACAAACTGGAGTTGCAAGCCAAGGTTCAAAATTGGCCAACCTCAGAACACCACATTAGTTACATCACTCTGTGAGTTGGTGCTATACCAGTCTATGTCTGAAAAAATCAGATGGTTATTTTGCTTAACCTATTTTCCATCAGTAGGTTGCATCTTCAAAGATCCATTTCCTGCAGCCTACCAATGAGTGTGTTTGTATGTCGCAAGACTAATGTGCCAAGGTTTCCAGTAACATACTAAACACTGCCCTACCCTTTTTTTTAGTTGCTGGACATGTTTGTACAGTTCATATAGCACAGCACAGTATGTGCTAGTACAGTAGTTTCATATTGCTATAAAGTCATGGTCCTTTTTCTGCTCTTGTATTTGGCTCTTATGGGAAGGTACTGTTGTGGTGGCAGCCCGGCTGATGGTGAGTGTCCTGTTTATTTCTCCTTTTTTTGCTTGTGATTCTGTTTTCCCTGGTGTTCTGTTTTGTCCTGTACTCTGCCTGCCTCCCTGTCTCCTCCCCTGCGTGTGCTCTCCCTGTCTCTCTCTCTCTGCTCCTGAGCCCAGCCAACGACCCGCACCTGCACCTCATCAGCCACCTCCTCTGCCTACCACACCTGCCAGCAATCAGCCTCATCTCTGACAATACTTGTACCCCGGTTCTCCAGTGAACCCCTGCTTGATCGTCGTTGCTCCTTACCCGGTGTCACTTGATCACTCAAGCTCCCATGTAACCTGCATGATCTCTGTTTCCCTGTTCTTGGTTTTCCCTGAGTCACTAACCCTGTTTGTCTGTCTGTCTCTCCCCAGGCTCACTCACCCTCGTCCTCTGTCAAGTCAGCTGGGCTCGCTCACCTGCCCTCTCCCCTCGGACCTACCCCACGGCGTCCTCCCAGCTCTCCCTCGTGCCTCCCCAGTCAGCCTGCCACCACATTCCTCCACCAACCAGTTCTCCCGTGCCTCCTCTCTTCCTCGGCCCCCAGTGTCCCCGGGCTCTCTAGTCTCAGTCTCCTCGGTTCCCTGTGCATGTGTTTCCCCGGCATCCACCTCTCCCTCAACTCCAGTCCCTCAACCCCTTCTTTCCCCAGATAAAACCTGTTTCTCTTGAGCGTTGCATTTGGGTCCACTCTGTCTACCTCACAACAGGTACCTTGGCACTACAGTGTTGGTCCAAAGTGTGATGGCATGATAACTTGGCATGATAAACTCAACCATGTTACACTGCCATAGTGGTGATAAAACTGGATTTTGGAGTTTAACTTTGCAAAGTTGCCAGGTAGCGCGCCAGCCCTGCATTCTGAGTTAGCAGGGGATCCATATGTATCTTCCAGCCGCAGAAACATTGCGAAAAAGACTCAGATTTGAGATGGACCTCTCTTGTTTCTGTCTGAAGCCAGAAACTACTGAACATCTTTTCTTTTCGTGTCAAATTACATTACAGTTCTGGCAAAATGTGAAAGACTGACTTAATGTCAGAATAAAGAACTTTGAAGCACAGCAGATCTTATTATACAACGATAACCTGTCCAAGGATATATGTGAGATGGCTAACATCATCATAATTATGGGAAAATATCATATATGCAAATGGAAGAAGCAAAAACCTATGTTGAATTGTTTCAGGAATTAATTAAAGAATTATTTATATTCCTTACAAGTATTGTTGGATACACACCAGCCAATACAAAAATTGTGTCACACTATGCTGCAATATTTAGTGTTTAAGGATAAACAGATACAAATCACCTGGATTACCTCTGTTATAGGTCTGGAGTGATAACTGGTTCTCAGATGTAATTTATCTGTAGTTATATACAATCACCAATATGTCTACTCTCAGCTAAAACTTGAGATAGACTCTCAAAACTACAATGTATGACATAGTAAAGTTACGGTGACACAGAATGAAGAGCTAAACAATAACTGTTGAGTGAATGGAAATAATGTGCCTTGATTATAATTTCATAATTATCAATTTTTTTTTTATTTTGTATTTTTTTGTGTCCTAAGTTGACCTAACATGTAAATTTACTATCACTAGTATTGTTGTTATTATTTTTTACTGGAGCCTTGCTGTTCTCTTATGTTTGTATGGTTTTGCAGAATGCAAATAACTTCCTGACTTCCTGAGATTTTGTACAATTGTGAATTGAAGAAAAAAAATAAAAAAATATGTATCAGTGAGATCATCAGACAGTATTGACCCCAACTGACCCCCATGATTACATCTGTGCAGATGTTGGACTATTTGATATACAAAAAAAATCTAAGACAGGGACTTTTTAATGTGAACAAAGGGCTCTTCATTTTTATGTTCCATTGAAATTCGAAGTCATTTTTAGACACAATTTGACACACACACATACAATCACACACACACATACTCCCCCACTTTGGCTCCAGCTCAACAGAGTGGCTCCAGATCAAGTGAGTCAGTTATTTGTCGTTATGAATATATCACACCCACTGCTACCCTCTTCTACTGTGCACCACTGCCTTTTTCCAAAGAAATCACCAACACGCACACACACGTTCACAAGCAAACACACTGTACAAATACACACTCTGATATAAGTTGCATCCTTTGCTTTACGCAGACACTCTGACCCATTTCCCTTTTGTTGCACTGCAGAAAGCACATTTAAGGATAACACCCTGATATACCCTGATAATACCCTGAAAATGTTGCAAAAAAAGTTCTACTTAAAAATGGAGGTCGTTAACATTACTTTTTAAATGTTTACTTTATTTTTGAGATCACATGAATCTTTCAATTTTTTTTATCTCACTTCACTTTTTCATGATGGTGGGCCTTTAAAGTGCACCCCTGCAGACGAGACAACAGTTTTTGCTAATATCATCTCTTTGTGATCCCTCTGAAATATACAGACAGTCTTGGAAAGAACACTCCCTTGCTCTCTCTACTCCTCAAGAAGACATTTGTCACTTTCCATTTTATTTGTCACTTTCCCCCCCACCTCCACCCCTCTTCGTTGTAAAACGAAGTTCATGTCGCCCTGCATTTCCCTGGGGCAAACTGATGGCTTCACCCACAGACCCAGGCGTATACACACAGCAAGACAAAGTGACTGCTTCTTTTATGCCACTTTGTTTATGCTGTACTCTCTCATCTTAGACACGGAGGCTTTGTTTTTCTGCACATTATTACTTTTTGTCTCACTGTTATGACTCTTTTTTTCTTGTCGTTTTTACTCATTGCTCAATTTCTCTTTTTAAAGGGATATATTCCTTTTCATATGTTCCCATTTCGCCATCAATTCTTTCATCTAATCCACTTTAATTTAATTTATCCCCACACACACACAAACACACACACACACACACTTTGTCTGCTTCATTCTTAGCTCATCGTCATCATTCCTTCCCCTGCCATAGAGCTCAAACTGTCCAGCATATGCCTCAGTCACGGTGTGTGCAAAAAGTCAGTGAAATTTCCCACAGGGTGAGGCAACATGAGTTTGCTTCTACTGCGTAGGAAATGGACTCATCTTAGGCATTGATTTCCTCTTAGTATTACGGGAAGGAGATGGCAGTGAGGTGAAGGCTAAGAGCCCAGCGGTCGATACACATTCTCATCACAACACCGGATGTTTCTTCCGTAGTCAGATTGGTTTCATTGCCCCACCACGGCAGTAATTGTCATTAGGTGGCTCTATTAATTGAGCAGTGTCAAAAAAACAAAGAAAGATGGCAAGGGTTATTTAATTTTTATTAGTGATTTACAGTATAGTTTGAAATATGCAATACGGGAAATCACAGTGGATATATTAGCTGTAGCAGTCCTAATAGCACTTTAACAGGAGTGGCAATCAGACAAGAATAGCAGTAATGTGCAGCAGGATTGGTGACGTGGTTAGTCGTTTCCAGGTAGCTATATTTTATTTGTCCATGTTTTGAAAGAAATGGAAGCTTAAGCTTTTTACAAAGAGATCATGACAAATAAATCTTGCTAACCTGACTTGCTGCCATCATGCCATGCTTGTTTCCCTATCATTTCCAAATCTGATTCATGGGCCCTTTTCACAACAGATATTTTGACTTGTAATAGCAGGAACAGGTGGAACAAATAACATTATCGATTGACAAGGTCTATTCAGTCCATATTTTTGCCTCTCGTCATGTGCAACCCCCCGCATGGCGAGATACCATGAGAGGTGAGTGATAAAATTATATATATATTTTTAAATTTGATTGTGCTAAGCTCCATATTTAGAGGACAGAAATGAGACTGACACTGATCTTTTCATCTCACTCTCAGTAAGAAAACTAATGTTGAACTATTTCTTTAAGACCATTGTTTTATCAGTGTTTATTCCTTTATGCACCACATTCACAAAACTGCTTTACCATTATTTCAGTTGAAAACCCTTGCATCAAATGCAGTTTGAGTTAGGGTGCACATTATGCTTAAATACATGTAAAGAATACAAGTTGATGGGCCTTGTTTCTGATATGTTTCCCCTTTGATCTTCAGGGTTTCGTTGTCTTCCTGAGGTGCACCGCACCTTCTTACTTTCTTTTCTTTCTTTTCTTTCACTCCTCTGACTCGCTTTGCTTTTCCTTTTTTCTCTGTCTCTCTCTCTCTCTCTCTGTTCACTCACACATTGTCAAAGTATGCACACACATCACGTGGTATGCTCCACAGCGTATGTTTGTGTAGTGGACCCATGCAGTCACACTTTTATATGACAGGCCAACTGGCCAATGAAATCGAACTCAACGAAGCCACACAGCCAACAGATGCATCAGTCCACAAAATAAACAGAATATTGCATACCTTTGGCTATATTTTCGATATAATATTGCGTAATGTGATATTGCGATATGAAATCAAATCAATGTACTGTGCACAACTAGTTTGAGTTTGTGTTAGTACCTTTATGACCAAAAGTTGTCAATTTTGAGCAGATCTTGACTTTCCACAAGTTCTTTCTTTTCTCATACTTAGTTGTTTTTAGTCAAGAACACATTGTCTGTTTATACTGTATGTCTGTCTGGTGTATGTGTGTGTGTGTGTGTGGGAGTTAATTCATGTGTATAAATGTATTTCAGTAGCCCAGGTCTTCCCAGCCATCTATGAGGCGCCTGAAAACACAGAGGAATGTAGCAAGGTACTGCAAAGACGGAAGCCTCTCACTCACACACACACACACACACACCTCTACCAACTTTTTGCCCATCTAAGAGACAGCTGTTTTTCTCCACTCGCCACAGCAGCTGGCACCAGCTCAGCCTCATCTCATAAAAGCAAGAAGAAGCCCCAGAAAAAGACGACAACTCATTCTTAATGGACAGATAAGACCTTTGGACAAGCTCCTAGGACACCCAGATCTGTCTATTTTCCTGCAGAAGCGATCCAGCTTGAGATTTATTGACTGCTGACTAAACGGAACAGAAAAATCTAGACAAAATTAGACATTAGTAGATAGCTACGGAGCATTGCAGGAGATGAGGGGAGGGATCTGCTCTGTGTTTTTCCTGGTGATTGGGGTGACCTTGCTCAGTAGCCATGACTGCCTGGGTGAACACAAGTCTTTGGAAAGGCCCAGGCCTCCACACCTCATCTTTATCATGGTGGATGACCAGGGTTATGGAGACATTGGCTACCACGGCTCAGACATCCACACTCCTGTGTTGGACCGACTGGCAGCAGAGGGGGTCAAACTTGAAAATTATTACGTCCAGCCTATCTGCTCACCTTCACGCAGTCAACTCATGACAGGGCTGTGAGTAATTTCCTTATCATTACATCATTATTACACTGGGAAAATGATTCACTTACTGTATCCGTTCTCATCTGATATAGTTATGCGTAGGCTTTATAGGCTTTTGGTCTTTCGCTTACATTTCTAATGGTGTATTCAGTGATGGGGCAGCTTCAAAGCCATAAAATTGAAGTACCACCGTTAGTGCCAAGATCAAGTCCTAGATTATTTATATCATCTAATCAATAGAACAAAATATAGCTGTATTCGCAGTTACAAATGTATGTAAGAGAAGCAAAGAGATGCCTTTTTTCTAAATCCCCTTTTACTGAAATAAATTTTTTTTTTGAGACTTAAAAATATAATTTGATTGATCATGATATTGGCTACTAAAGCAGAAATGAGTTTTCTGACATTTTTCACGTTGATACACAGTGGTTATAACAAAAAAGTAAAATGTCAATCAGTTTATTCACAAGACATTAAAATACAAGTGCAATCATAGCAAATAATAGATATTTGTGAATGACAGTTCCTATCATAAAATAATTCTGTAAATCACTGGACATCATGGCTTATTGATGTGTAATAGTATACGAGTATAAAAGGGTGTATTTCTCACACATCTTACCAGCTACCAAATTCACACTGGACTACAGCATTCAATCATCCGACCACGTCAACCCCTTTGCCTGCCTCCAGACATTCCCACCCTACCAGAGCGTCTGGTTGAAGCTGGATATGCCACACACATGGTGGGGAAATGGCACCTGGGCTTCTGTAGACCAAGCTGCCTACCAACAGGACGTGGCTTTCAGAGTTTCCTGGGCACACTAACTGGCAGTGGAGACCACTTCTCCTATAAGAGCTGTGACGGGGCTGAAGCTTGTGGATTTGACCTGCATGACGGAGACAGGGCTGCCTGGGAGATAACCGGCAACTACTCCACTCTGCTCTACATAGAGAGGTGAGCATGAATGTATAAATTAAATTAAACAGATTCATACATACAGACACTTTAAAAACTTCCAATGTTCCATCTGTCCGAGCAGAGTGAAGCAGATCCTGAGGAGCCACGACCCCCAAAAACCACTCTTCCTGTATCTGTCCCTTCAGGCTCCCCATTCACCCTTGCAGGTACCAGACCATTTTCTCCATCACTGTTCCCAAGGTAATCGTCTTAGGCGCCACTATGCAGCCATGCTGAGCTGCCTAGATAACGGGGTTGGACAAGTGGTGCAGGAACTGAAGACTAGTGGGCTCTATCAGAACTCAGTACTTATATACTCATCTGATAACGGTGGGCAACCGCTCTCTGGGGGGAGCAACTGGCCACTGAGAGGTGGCAAAGGTACCTACTGGGAAGGGGGCATCCGGGCTGTGGGCTTTGTCCATAGTCCCCTCCTGAAGAGGAAGGGTATTGTCAGCAGAGCACTGATCCATATTTCTGATTGGTATCCCACATTACTGGGGCTGGCTGGGGCCCTGCAGTCTCAGCGTGGCCTAGACGGTCACGATGTGTGGGGGACCATCAGCGAGGGCTTACCCTGTCCTCGCACTGAAATCCTTTTCAATATTGACCCAGTCTCCAGAAAGCCTGGGGAGCCATATGACAAGGCGGTACTCAATGGCTTTGGGATCTGGGACACAGCTGTAAGGGCAGCAATAAGGGCTGGGGATTGGAAGCTACTGACAGGAAATGTGGGTGATGGGGACTGGATACCACCACAGGCTCTTCCCAGTGGTCCAGAACGGTGGCAGAGACTGGAGAAGCGGCGTAATGAGCTGGGGAAGTCAGTTTGGCTGTTTAATGTCACTTGTGACCCCTACGAGAGGTCGGACCTGGCAGAAGCTCGTCCGGAGGTAGTGAAACATCTGCTGACCAGGCTGGCAGAGTACAACCAGACAGCTGTGATGGCCAGGAATCCACCAGATGATCCTATGGCTGACCCTGAGCTCCATGGAGGGGTGTGGAGCCCATGGCTGGGCCTGGAGGGGCAGGAGGGGGATAATGGAGAGGAAGATGGCAGGAAAGAAAACAGGATGAAAATCAAGCACTGCAAACTATGCAAATTAAAAGCCCTATTCAAGAAGGTGGGGTCACGCCTGCAGAGGAACACCTTGTTCTTCTAAATGTCTCATCTAGAAACATTAATTGGACTAAAGGGTTCAGTATGCTTCAAATGAACTAGGTTGTACTAAGTGTCGCCTGAACACATCTGTAGTCAAAAGTGTTAATACCTGACCCACATAGCCGTCAAGACTCATGAAGTGAGACGCGATTAATCATCAAACAAATAGGGACAACGGCTCGCAGAGTGTTCTTGGATGCCCACGAAAAGTAACAGAAATAGTTGTGTATAGAAAGAAAAAAGAGCGCTTGAGAGAGAAGACATCATGCTTATTGTATTGTTGATTTTGGAAAGTTGCGAAACCAATGCTAACATCAGAAATGTGTGAGGGTTGTTGGTTTTAGACACTTGATGATCTGACAAGGACTTCATTTGAAGCATACTGACACCTTAACCAGGAGGAAGTGAATGGGAGAGATGAAGACAAACAAAAATGCAGACCAGCAAACAAGCTGGCAGGTCAGATAGACAAGATAGAGTCAAATATTGAAGGTCGGCAGATAAACAGGCAGCCTTACAGATAAAGCAGACAGGGCTGTGCGGCTGGCTGAGCAAGCTGACTCACTCACTGTCCTGCAGCCAAACTGCAGCAGGGTGACTTTGGGCCATCGTTGGACTACATGGGGAGCAATGTGTGTGTCATAGTGCATGTATGCCTGTACTCATGAATAGTTTGATTAATACAGATAGAGTGCGTGCATCTGGAAGTAAGGCCTGAAGAGATGTGAAGAGGAAGAAAGGCACAGACGGTGACCTCTCGATGTCTCATCTCCTAATCATCCGAGAGGATCCTTTAAAGATGACAAAAAGACACCCACGGGGGTTGTTTTTGTCAAATGTCACCTTGTCCTTTTGTTCTTAGGGTTTCCACAGATTCACTTATGCTCATGCTGTCGCACACTCCGCTGCCTTCAAAAGACATCTGACCACACAATGTTCAGCGTCTGCAGCAGTGACTATCTATCTATTGACTAACTGTAAATCTGGACTTTTAAATGTTACTTAATTCATCTACTGTGTCAAATGCTGGAAAACTGATTCAAATGATCTAAATAAAATCATGAATGCAAAAAATTGCCTGAGTCACCTGAACATGCAAAAATGCCAAATTTGGCATGGATATAATTCACAATACGTATATGGAGAACAAAACATAATAGATACAAAAAAGATAATAAATTAACTTTTACTTTGAACTCCACTGCATGGTACCAGCTCGACACGCTTCGACTCTACTCGCTTTTTGGTTTTCCATTGTGGAAAAGTTGTACCTGCTACCACATACTTTTTTTCGTATCTCCTCCGTCGAGGTTCCACTACAGGGCAACTTCCTGTCTGCACCAGCGTCTACTGTGTATGATCGCGCAGCATAACTGGTTTAATGATGTAGAGCAATGGCTGAAACACTGTAATTCTGTTAGCTGCATAGCTGCACCAACAAAAAGTTTCATGGCTCAGTGTGTTTGTCTGACTCAGATCATCACTGTTTAATCAGCCCACCTTCGAGGCTCACCTGCCAAACACCAACGCAGCGTCACTGGCCAAATAGTTTTTTTCGATAGCTGAGAGTCTAAGCAATACGGTTCTCTCATGTGCGACGGGGTGTCACAGGGTTTTGATGTAATTTTTGGACCTATACATGGAACCGTCCATGCAGGCTTGGGTCAGCTTCACTATTTCAACTGTGGCTTGGCCCGCTCACAGAGCCCTCTGGTCCCACAGTCACACAGACTGCTGCATCAACAACGGCAGAGGAAAACACAGCTGTAAGGTTTTCATACCACTTATCTGTCTTTACATTCTGACTAATGCTGAAACATTTTAACTTAAATAAAGAGACAGCTGTATGTGGGTCGCTGTGTGTGTGTCACATTGAACATTACATCGCCGCAGTTGTGTGCGCCGTTGCTATGACGACTAGCTACATTGAGGGGTACTGTCTCTGGGTACTATGTGCAATGGAAAACGGAGCACGGCGGGCCAAAACCAAGTCGAGGCGAGGCAAATTGAGCTGGTGCTGGTAATAGAAAACCGCATTGGTTTATATTGAACTTTTCTTTTAGGAAAATTTCAAGTGTACATCAGACGATAACATCAATAATGGACAATTCTGCTAAACCCAGGATTACAATTAAATAAACCATTTTTTAAATTCTTGCTTTCTGCAATATCTGCACATGGCAACTACAATATGGTTAAGGTTATGGATAAATCGTGGTTTTGGTAAATAAAATATAATTAGGGAATGGTGAGGCTTAGCTTAGCAATTATAACTGAAAGGGGAAGTGCAGCAATTTCACACAATAAAGTCTGTTCACAGGTGTTGGGGAGTAATACTGCACATGAGAAAAAAGTTGCTCCAGTGGGAATTGTGTGAAATCGTCTATTGAGGCTAAAGACTTAGAGTTTAAAGTTTGAAAATTAAAATTGAAAATTGAAAGAAAAACGGGGCTGTTGAGTTAGAAACAAGTGTAGTACTGTAGGTTGCTCCTAATCTCTGCTTGAGGCCAGCGACTCGCTGCTACATTAGCTGCTACTGGCATAACACACCCAACTCGCCAACTGAAATGTCTGTGACCGCGTTGCATTGTGGGTGATGTATGCACCAGGTTTTGAAAGGAAGGAAGAAGAATGAATAGAATAAAAGAGATGACCTCTCTGGTTCTGTTGCATCAAGTTTGAGTTGACCTACTCTTATGTTAGGGAAACGGTTAAAAAACAAACTTAAAATTTAAGGCGGAGTAGGCAATTCTGGGGAAATCCAACATCCTGACAAACCATAATATAGAGCAAACAACAACACAGCAAGTAATCTAATTAACATTAGCTAGTTGTGGGTTAACTTTCACTACAGTTGCTGTTGTGAAGGTAACATGAAGAGAGGACGGTTTCCCAGAGGCAGCACACCAACTCCAGAGAGCGACACTCACAACTGAACTCTCCTGCGACTATAGCTAACATCACAACAGCATGTCTGGGCGAACTAGAAGGTAAGCTGAGTGTCCATGGGCAAGACATGTAACGTTACCTGACACACAGGTCATGGCTGGAATAGTGCTGTGTGCCGGGGTCCGGGCCGCTTTGTGTGTTTGTCATTTACAAGGCCAGGGCTGAGTACAAACACCAGGGTTTTTTTCACAGCTAGCAGACCGCAAGATATTCACTGATTTTGACAAAAAGACGTGTTTTGGATTACAATCCCTTACCCCACCTTTAATTGCATTGCCTGTTACAGGATGCAAACTCTTAAGGTGGTTCTGCTTGGTCTCATACAACATGTACCATAGCAAACGGCGTCAGTTTTGTTAGGTAGCCTACTGTGTACAGCAGCTCATTTGTTGATCCCAGCCATTAGGTGTGTGTCTTAATCTGAGTGTGTAAATGTAGAAATGTTACTGGGTGTAAGTGTCGGCAGCAATCCCACACACAGCAACAACAAGGCTTTGGATTTCTCCCCCAGAGGCCTGTTAATGAATATTCAACTGTCCTTCTTCACTATTTCTTCCTCACTTGCCTCCTCCTTCCCTTCCTGTCACCCACCCTCCCTCCATTTTTCCCTTAGCTCTTTGCGCATTCCCTCTGCAACACCCCCCTCCCTAACCCACCCCCTGTCTTTCTTTCTCATTTTCCTCCTCATCCTACTCACTTGTTCGTGCTCATTTGGATGATCAAGTTAGAAGTATCAGTCATGTTTTGCTCAGAGCTCTGGCATACAGTAAAATAAAAGAGTGGAGGAGGGAAGACAGAGTTCCCCAGAGGCTGCAGGGGGCTGCAGTGTCTGAAGTGCTTGTAGATCAGATTAAAATGTCTAGTTTAGGGAAAAGGCCTGACTGCATACATACCGACTAGTTATAGGAAGGATAAAGTGAAAGCTGGAACATCTTCAAGTTTAAAGGATAAGGCTTTTGTTATTGTCAACAAATCCCATTAAAAGACCAAAATGCATTACTTTGTCTCAACTTTGCTTCCTGTCAAGGACTATTTTCATGCTCAGATTTGGTGAGCTGAGTATTTACAGCAACAGGACTGTGTAATTGGGATCTACTCAAAACTAATGATGCCCATGTTCACTGATGTTTTTTAAAAACATTTTGGACAACAATGGTACATAAACTATATTGGGGTTTGGCTACACAGACAATACTGGTAAGTAGGATAATTTCATTGTTGGTTTTGGTGTGTTCATGGGATTTGTTGACAATAAAGAAAATATGGACTATCAATAAACGTATCCATAAAATATATCAGAAAACTCCACTGAGCAAAGTTGCATCAGCCAAGTGATTGTTGCAACTGTATTTTATGAACCAAAACTGTCTTTAGTGAACAATAATGATAACATTTAAAATGTACATTTAAACTGTTTGTTTTATATTTGCCTCCTATATCCAGGAAAGCTTTTTTGAATGTTGTACTTCTATTTGTAACACTTTGATACCACCACTACTACTGCTACTACTATTAATTAACAGTAAATACCATAGGTTTTCTTTTATTAGTACCTGTTTTATGTTGAAAGAGTCCTTCCACATGCTTCTTGTGTAACTTTAACTTTCTGGCATTGTATGTTTTCCTGCCAGTTTTGATTGTCTGCCCCACCCTGATTAGTTTCCCTTGTGTCTAGCTGTCCTCCCCTCACTTGTGTATTTAAGCTGTGTGTTTATATTAATGGGTATTACATGTACAGTTGGACGTAGACAAATTAAACACGACATCAGAAACTACGTTTTACTGACTCACAATTACAAGTGTACAAAGTTTTAAAGCGCTAGCATGTCTGTAGAGATAGTTCCTTTCACATACACCAGGAGAAATGCAAACAATTTTTGTGACCTCCATCTTTATGGGAGGTAGTCTACTAGAAATCAAACTGGTGCCTTTCTTTTTTTAAATAATCTACACAGTGTTCATGACTTGTATGACATCGCTCCAAGAGACATTGAAGCTGTAGGCACTTTGTTTACCTCCTCTATGAGCAACAGAGAAAATATATCAAAAACTAAACTCCAGTGATTTGATGAGACCGCTTTGGGTTAACAGTAGGACTGTTGCTCAGAGCCCTTCAGAGTCCTATACATGTGAGAAACTGGTGGAGACAATCGTTTCATGCCCACACATCTGATTCCCAGTATACAGTGATGGCCCGCAGAAATAAGGCAGCGTCAGATGATATAAATCATGGAGGAGGTGTTGCACAAACGCACGCACACACACACAAACACACACACACACACACAGAAACATACACACTTGAACACACAGTGCTATGTAGTGCGTGGGAGGGAGCTGTCATATCCACTGTTAGATAATCAGATGAAGGTATGGCTGACTTCAGATTATTTGGTGAAATCGTGAAGTAAAACACAATAAGCTCATGACACTGTTTTAAATACAACTTTTATTTTCTAGATACGGCTTATGCTATTCCACACTGAAAGTAAAGGCCGCCTTTTCTCTACACTCATTCAGTGAGACCGAGGGTGGTATCAACGACTCGATAGGGACATATTCGCTAGAGTCTCTAGGATCGTAAATTGCAGCCCATTAAGCTGCATAAAGAGCCCAGATGTACTCTTAAATGCTTATTTGGAACAATGTGACCATTTAGAAATTGGCAAAGGTAGGTAATAGATTCACTCTAATGAACTCTACACGACAGTTTGAAACCTGAATGAAAAAAGATTTACTGAATGACATTCAACGAGCTGTCTCAGTGCAGCTCGGCAGCAGACAGGACAGTGGTCACTCCCTGAGACACACACACACACACACACCTCAAACCCATACAAGTGTTGTGATGTCACTGGTCAGCGTGACAGAGGAGAGGCTCTTAAAAGATATGTAGAGCAGCCATGAGCCAAGTTGAAAACATTCTTGAAAAATGAGTCACTCCCCTTCAGCCTCAATGGCTCCACAACACTGCTGTTACACTATCATCACTGCGAGGAGGTTTAGCTTTTAGAACATGTTATAAGTATTATGCATA